TTTTGGCATGTTTGTGTAAAAGGTATAATAAAAAATCTTTAGAACTATTAATATAATAATATATATAATATATAATAATAATAAACTTAGTTATTATTTATGTTGTTACTAATATTTATCAAATCTTAAAAAATCAAAATTACAAACTTTTATCTTTTAAAAGATATTGATAATAATTATACATTTAAAACGGTTTTAACTTTTATTTTTGTTACAAACAATTTTTTACATCATAATCTCTGTGTTCTTGTAGTTTAAACCTACAAAATACCCATAACTATTTCATCACTCACCCAAAACATCTCATCAATAGCCTTCCTTACAAACAAATTCCAGACAACCCACTCAGACCCCTAGAAAGAAATTGGTGGAGGAGCTTGTTTTTTTTATAAAAGAAATTGGTGGAGGAGCTTGTTTTTTTTATTAAAGAAATCTAGAGGTGCCACCAGTCAGCAACTGCGTCAATTATGTCTTCTTTTTTTCCTGTTATCATATTTACTTATTGTAGAGCTAATAAATTACAGGTTGTACAATATTATACTATATTACAACAAATAATATTGTATTATATTATTACAATATTATTTGGGGGATAGCAAACTCCTACAAAAGTAGGTAATCTCCTACATTGACATAAGGTTAACTCCTACAAAATATAGTGTTAACTCCCACAAAAAAAAGTGTTTACTCCTTTACTAGATAAGTGTAAAGTTTTAAAAAGTAAAATAAGTAAAAATCAATCATTAACTACAAAAATCAAAAGCAAAATATTATAATTCAATTACGTTTTTCTAGTAATTAAAATGAATAAAAATCAGTCATAAACTATGAAAATAAAAGATAAACTAGGTAGAGATTGTTGTATTTCCAATTTACAGAAATAATGTAGGTAGATTTTATCAAAATGTTCGAGAATTTCCGATACAACACTTTATATTAATATGTTTACTAAATTTTATCTTACATTTTATTATCTTACATTCGTAAATCTCTATGAATATTTATTCAAAATGCAACAACAAACATATGTTATTAATTTTCCATTAGAGAACTATTTCAGGTATAAAATGTTGTGAATGTTAATTTAAAATAATTAAATCATAAAATCGTACGTTTTGTCTCACTTAAGTGCAATCATCTCAAATAAATATCATTGTAAAACCAATATACATTCTTTGCTACACTCAGAATCTAAAATATAAAAAGGTCTGTGTAGGAGATTACACCATCTATTTTTGGCAGGTATAAAGGGACTATGTAGGAGTTTACACTATGTTTTAAATACAAGTAAAAATGTCATTTTTGTAGGAGTTTACATGTAGCCTATTATTTTATAACTGCAAATAAAAATAAACCACTGCTAACGAAAAACAATTTGGAGTAATGTTTAGGTATACATGATGTTATAAATATCAAGGCTGTAATATTTAGGATTTTCATTAAAATTCGATTTTAAAACACTTATGAAAAATAACTCATGCAATCAATTTTTCTGTTTTTTTAACCACTAAGTACAAATTATAATGTACTTTGTGTTAAATTTGCAAGCATTTCTCTAAAGGCATAATATACAGATACCAATTAATAAAAATACATATAAAACACGAAAATATAAATATAATATAAATAGCCTAAAAATAACTAGAAAGTTTTAAAAATTTTACCACGTTTACAAAAGGACAATACAAATATATTTTTAAAACTACAGAATTGTACAATAATTTTTAACTGAATTTCAACAAAAAAACTCAAATTTCTAACACTTTGCCATATTTTATACGTTATTTCCCGGTTTTTCGTGATTATTAGGAAAATCAAACAACTACATTCTTACTCACAAGGAAGACAAAATTTCCTTTCAGATAATATGCTATACTAGAAATTTGGTCAACAATTTCTGGTAGAAAAATATAATCTTTATGGTTTTCCCAATTATTATAAAAATTACTTTAGATTCGAAAAAACCGTCTTTCTTTAAAAATGACATAAGAAACAAAATCGATCCCCTGTAATTTTAGATTGGAGCAATATTTTTAGTATAAAACATCGTAAACAGATTTAAACACGGTAACGCCGCGGCGCGCCGTGAATATTTTCTGTTGTACCTATAATTTTTGTTGAGGTTTTTCCTAATTCTTTAGGAAACCTCTTAGAAAATCAAAAAAAAATTCTTAAATGCATCAAATAGAAAAAATACCTTTCAGAAAAGGTGCTATATATATAGTGCTATGTACATCGAAACAAAATTATGTTTTTTTTTTTTTTTTTATAAGTAATTTAAATCTGAATTAATAAAGTAAAAGGCAATAGTCAATTTATAATCATAACCTGCCAGAAAAATGTTACCCAAGGTAATCAAAACTCTCAAGTCCCTCCCCACACCGATTTCCTTTCAGAAAAGGTACTATACTTGAAAACCGGAGTAAGACTTCTGGTAGAAAAGTTGCGCACTGATAAAAAAAAAAAATAGTAATAAACATCTTTATAAAACCATAAGCTTCTTCACTCCACTCAGAATCTAAAATATTATGATAGTGTATATCATAGCGAATGTCGAAAAACTAAGCTATACGCGAGAACACTACACAAAACAGTCTTGGAGTTAACCCTTTACCCCGAAAACACTGCTGAATAAATGAAAAAAGACGGACATCCTTTGCACAATGGGTGGACGACCACTGCTGTAGATAAGAAGTTGAGAATGTAAGATATAGAGGGTAATTTAATGTATATTTGTTAGACTAAACAGAAATACTTGACAATTTAACAAAAAGTTCATTGTAAGTTGTACTAATATTGAGTGGAATGTAATATTTTTTTTTTTCATAAGAGTTAAAATCAAATTATGTCAAACATCGTAAATAATACGGCCTTTCAAAAGATGTATAACCAAACTTCGCTCCGAATCATTTTTCGCAAGGAATGGTTATAGGTATAAATTAAATAACTTTATGTATCCCACCTTCCTAACTTACGACCTATAACAGTAGCCGCACCTGTCCCTAGCATCAGCTCTTTTTTTTCTCGGAAATCATTTTTTCGGTAAGTAAACTCTGAATTGTTCACATCGTAGGTAATTTAAAATATCATATTAAAAGTTCTTCGCTCAGTGGTACCATATTTAAAACATTAGTCTGGATTACCGATAGTTTTTATAAAACAAATAATCGTAATAAATTACGGTGCATCAGGTTTTTCTTTCTTTCTGGATGACCTCGAGTACAAGGAGATATTTATATTACAGTTTACAAGATAATTGATTGTTTTTAGATTGCGATAATTCATCGGTATTTTAGTATATTACGAGTATAATCTGAATTTATAAGTGGATTTAGAATTTGATAACTGTGAGTCAGCTAATTTTGAATGGCTACTTTTTTATGACCATTATTAGAAGGACCAAGAACACATTAAAAGTTAAAACCTCAATCTTTTATCATAAACCAGCAATTATTATTGTATGCCTACAAATATTTTGTGTACATTTGATTTGGTTTCGTCAGATATTAGCTGTATAGAATTTATGAGCTATTCACAATATTTTCAAAAATGTTAACCTTACTTTCTATAAAGTCCATACCTAAAACTTATTAGTTATTCTATAATAACTAATAAGAGTAATATTTTGAACATATTATTAATAATTATAATGCCATTATAATGAAGTCACATTAACTGAATGATTTTCATAAATATTTTTGGTGATTATATATTCACCTTGTACATATATCTTGTATATATCATAAGAAATCAACGGAAAATAATCCATTTTTATTCAGAAGACGTTATTACCGCATTTACTGTCTCCGTTTTACAAATGCGTGACAGCAAATTTGGGTTTATTAGATTAATAAACGCATCTATCTATCAATATCTAATTTATTAATTAATGTGCTATTAGTTTAAATATTAAAAAAAATTGACTTATTACCAAACTTGAAGGTTAGAAGGTGCCTTGGCGTTGATGTTTTTTTGATACTTTAATTTTTAGGCAAGATATAATCATTTTGAAATTGTAATATTTAACATACTTGTATCTCGCTTGAAAATAAAAATATCAAAAAAACATCAACACTAAGGCACATATTATAATCATATTACTTTTAATTTTGGTAATAAGTAAATTTGCTTTAATATTAAAACTAACGGGCCTAAATGTGTCCTACTAAACGCAAATTTACTATGTCTTGCGTTTATACGACGGAGACAGTAAATACGGGTAAGGTGTCCTTTTAATAATGGCCATCTACTATACTTATTTATATAGCGAATGATCACCTCTAAATAGCGGTCATTAATACTTCTGGTTCCTTCAGTGACCGTTGTATGATGACGTTTGATTGTATTTAAAAGATTTTTAGCTAGTACATACCTATAGTATAAAGTTATTTTTTCCTAACATTTTTTACCTCAACTTTTATTGTATAAAATCTATGTCAACAAAAACAAACAATAATTATTCGCATTGGTGCAAATAGCGGGGGGTTGGGCTTGGGGGTGTTTTAGCTCTCCCAAAATCAATTTCTCATCAAAGAAGTATCGAGTGTGCATAGATTTTTATTAATCAAATGTTGGGGAGGAGGCAAAATACCCGAAAAATATTTTGGATACTCGCACTTAAGGTACTTACTATTATTCAATAGTGCCCATATCATCGTCCGTAGGTAATTGTATAATAATATATAACTTATACGGTCTACAAAAACGTTTTCAGTGCAACACCATAGCATAATATTATTGTATTGAATATAAAATATCCTGGCCGAATTCAGTTGTTTTTATAATAACTTTTAATCATATGCATACACACGTCTTCAAGGTGAACGCGCATAATACGCGTTTGTATAATATTTTATACGTATTGTCTTGTGTGGTATAGGTATAACGTTTATTATTATATTACGTACCTACCCACCTATCCTACCTATGAAAAACTGGTCTCGCACCGCGTACACGTCGTTGGTAATGACGCGGTTATAACCGGGTATCTATAAAAGACCGACGGAGACCGGCTATCGTGCGTAGTCGTCAAACGTTTGTCGCGTTGGACGTACACCACATAATTCTGATATTGTAATAGTACCTGTTACCTGTCACCTGTTATTATTGACATACATTATTATCCGTCGGTGTTACTATATTATTTTCGCGGGCACTCATTGATAATCACGTGTCAGTTTTTTTTTTTTTTTTTTTTTTTTTTTCGGAAAATACGAAGCAAAATTTTTAAATCGCCATGACCACCAAAACGGTTTCAACGAACGTTCTCGACAGATTGGTCCAGTTAACAGTGAGTCTGATAAAATTTCCTTCGTACGAGGACATTCGAATGTACTATACCGCATTCTCGGAAGCAATACTAGCAGTCGCCTGCAGTTGTTTTCCAACGATTGACATGGACGTGGATATAAACGAAGACGACGAGTACGAACCTCCGACAACGGAACAAAAAACGGTAAATATAATAATGGTAATGAGTAGACAGGATGGATATGTATCTAATAATAATTCTTATGATCGGTGATCAAGATTTTTATTGTTTGTTACGAAATAGTAGGTAATTGTTAAATAATAATACTGTTTCGTATAGGCCATATTGCGTGTATACCGTGAATAGCCGTTTATTACAAAAATCTCAACCGTATCAGATTCGACAGTTTTTTATTTTATTAGTTCATTTTATACCTATTTCAATACACGGATCTTATAGATTAGCAATGTTAAACAATTCGTTTAATGTATATCCGGATTAGTTCATATCTGATTTATATAGGTATACGTATACCAATCGTTTACATTTTTGAAATATTTGTGAAACACTGAATAAGCAGTAAATATTAAATGTTAACAATAATGTTATAATATTTATATAGGTACCTACTCGAAAATACATTTGAAAAAACATACTACGAAATAGGTACGTGACAAATTGTAGACATTATAGTATACAATTTAAATATTATTTAAGAACTAAGAGACAAGTATGAATCGTTTATTTATGAAAGGGGTTTATTCCAAATAGTCAAACTTTCAGAAAATTAAAAATAGCTGTTTTACACGTACAATTTTACTTGAAAAACATTTTTTATTATTATGTACTACACTTATTTGAATTTGAAAATACCAATTTTTCAAATTTATTTTTTAACCAGCAGTTAAAGTTTAAACTTAACGATTTTGACACTTTTTTTCATAAATAAAATTACTAAATTATAAACGAGATTATTTATGGAAAAATAAGAATTTATGATAAGAACAACGATTAATAATTTAATATAATAATATTCGAGAGGAAGTATAAACAGCTGTCATTATCAAATGTTCGATCACAAAATTTTTATTAATTTATGGATGGGGTCAATTGACATTACGATTCATTACAGTACTTAGCACTATTCATAAATAAACACGATATTTGGAACGCCATAACAAAATGAACATCATGTGACTTATTTCAAAATTAAACAATTCGTTTATATAATATAGCCATAAAATATATTTTTAAAAGAGACATTTTCCAAAAAACTGCAACTTATCACCTTTCATAAAATATAAACGATTCACGTAGAACTTTTATTGTTTTTATCTCTACAATTTGGAAATTGGACAGACATAATATTATTTAAAAAAATAGGTACTTATATTTTTTTTTATGTTTTGAGATGCTCACACACTGCCGCAGCAGCGGTAGCGGTTTAATTGAACTCGTGTATTCTTATGAAAGAGTCCACACACTGCAGCGGTAAAATATTGTGTCGCGGTTTTTATGAAAACCGCTGCATGACCGATTTTTACTGCTACTACTAGCGGTTTTCAGTTTTTTACGTTATTTTCTGAATAGATAACTACTTCAAAATGTGAACTGACTTCACCGCCACCGGGGCACCGGCTACAACAGTGTGAACACTGCGACGGTTAACTGCCACCGCCACCGCTACCGCGAAAGTGCGTGATCACCTTTACACAATATTAGAAATAACGGCACACCTAATTTTCAATTATCTTGTTATCCATACAAGAATGTTTACTTAGGGACTAGATAAGTATTTTTATCGATTATTTATTTTAAAATTAGTATGTGTATAAAAAACAATTTATTGTGTGTATGAGTATAGGTAAATTGCTATTTTTCTTGCTATCGTTTATATAGTATACTCTATGGAAATTTACTAACTGTCTAAACAGATGTTATACAATATATTAACATCACAGAATAGAATAATATAGCTATTAGGAAAACAATCTAACACTGGGAACGCTGTTGGCTTTATGAGCTACAGGTTGGTTCCCCACCATACCGATTTGGGGTTCTGTTATCAGAACACATTCAATTCACCAGATTTTTTTCAAATATCCAGTATATATTCATAATTTGTCTTTATTAATTAGTAACTACATTAAAATGTCATATTTCAACTTTGTAATATATGATAAAAGTATTTAAAATTATAATTTTTTCTACAATTACATTAAAAATGTAACTTACTGCTATTACTAAGCATATTTAATTATGCGAAGTGCTCGTTTAGCCCTCGAAGTATTGTTGAAGGTGAAGCAATAAAAAGCAAATTATATTGGTAAAATTGAAACCGTAAATTTCAAAATGTAATTTTTATTTAACTTAGAATTTATTTACCATTTTGTTGTTAATTGGGGACTAGGATAATATTGTAAAAATTAAGACTTTGGTTGGGCAATCCTCACATGTAACAGACATGCCTCATGAAGTTTGGGGTGGCCTTAAAAAAAATGTCTCACTACAGTATAATTTAATTTACACGTTCATGTAAAGCTGGTGTCTCAGAGTGCTGCAAACACATTGTAAATATTCTATTTTCAAACAGGTAAAATGTGTAGACATTAATATGTTTATATACTTTTAAGTTACCTATATACCTAATTAATAAGTATATTTTTTTTACTAACGATTTTAATTTGAAAACTCGGTGTTTTCTTGAATCTTTGTTACTTAAATGTACAATATAAGTAAATGTATTATGTCCAATTATTTTGCTTCCCCAATAATTGAGAAGCATAGCACCAAAACGGACTAACCCAAAAATCCATTGTTTAGCCCATAATATTTTAATGATTTTTCCCTCTTTTTATAATTATTGTAATAAAATATTACCTCATAATAGTAAAAAACTATCATATAATATAAAATATGATAGTTATATATATAGAATATTTTTTTTAAGGATTTTATTTTTTTAAATTTTAGTTCATTTTTAACTAATATTGGTCAAGCCACTGTAGCAATGGGTTTAATATTGAAATAGAGTTATTTCATAGGGTTGATCTATCTAATACTATGTAAATAATACTAATTTATTTGTAACTCTGTTTGTGTATTTGTGTTTACACAGTTAAATTGGACCTTTCGGTTGTTAAAATATTTTTATTTAATTTGAAAATGATGTTCTTTTTTAAAATTGGAAATAATTGTTTAAGGTCATAGAGTTTAGCTACTCTGATTCTGAAATAAATTGTTTATGTGTCGGCGCTATAAAAAAACTAAGTTCTGCCATAAACCAGACAGTTTTTTTTAGCTATAGAAATAAGCTATAGCTTAAGCAATATTGGTTTTCAAATATCAATCTAAAACATTATATCAGATAACATTTTTGGCACTATGCTCTTCAATTTAATATTTTTTTTTACTTGACCTTATTTTCTCTTAAAAAAAATATTTTAAAGTTTGAATATCTATTTTAAATAATACACTAATTATTTATTATATTATTAGTGTTATTGTTATAAAACAAATAACTTTAAGTTTTTAATTTAGTAAGTTTATTAATTTAAAGTATTCTTATTGACTATTTATAATAATAATAATCATAGTATATTTTAATATGTTTTATTTTCTATAAGAGCAGATATGGATATCGGTAATTACTAACGATTTAAATTAATAATAAGATATAACATATTGATGACTTTACTTACCTGAAATGACCAGAACAAAAAAAGATTTAATGACCTTAAAATTAATAAAAATTACAAAATATGCTTTAATGAACTATAACTTTAAAAATACAACTAGAAAAAAAATCGTACGATAAGCGTTTATATGGATGATTGTTTGTAAAAATTTTGTAGTAGGACACATAAACTCCTGTACGCTTTAAATAGAATTACAACCAAAAACCCTCCAATCAAAATCAAACATATACTTAAAAATGCTAAAACTGGATACGAGTGTGCTACAATTATAGATAGGAAGTTGAAAAGATAGGATATATTAAGTTATTTAATTTATATCCGTAAACAACAATAAATCATTGCTAGCGAAAAACAATTCGGAGTGAAATTTGGTTAATTATTTTTGTTACTCCCTGTTATTTAACTCTATAGTGTTTACTGAAATAATTTTAATCATTGTATATATGTATTACTTCTGTACTTTATGCCCATCGGGCGTTTATAAATAAACATATTATAATAATAAATATAATAACAAAGGATATTGGCATGTAGTTGTTTTGCAATGCATGCAATACCAACAATATTACCCCAGTATAATTTATTAATATTTAATAAACATTGTGTTAATATTTGTTACAGATAAAGCAAAATTGAAAAAAAACGAATCAAATCAGTAACTCAGAAAATAATTTAAAGATTTTAACGTTATAAAAAAAACACGTTTCCTAGTTTATTTATTTTTTTTTCTGATTTAAATAAGTTTTTTATTTATTATAATATCAGCTATCTAATAAAATATTTATTATTATTTTGTTATAAATGTTTTGTTTTTTTCACTATTCGTGTGTGTAGGAACACAATATCGCGTGTAGAGTGTATATATGCATTGATTGTAGGTATATTTTATTATAATAAACATATTTTTTTTCAATAAATTATTATTGATTTAAATTTTTTTTTTTAATTTTATAATGTGTTACATAATTTAAATTATCACCACGTTGTTTCACAAGACATAATATGTACCTAAAATCAGGGCTAGCCTGAAGGTAGTCCAAGCTGTGTACTCGCGCAGAGTCCCGTGCTTTAAGAGACCCCGCGTATAGTCGCAATCGTAACTAGATAGTAATTTCACATGATTATTTAGGAAAATACATATTAAATTGATTAAGAAAATTTGTATTTTAAAGTTTACCTACGCTTGGTATTAGAAGGTGAAAAACAATAAAAAGCTTATAGAGGCCCCGAAAAAAAATACTGCACCATCTACAACTTGCTTTTGAGTTTCAAATAGTGAATATAATAAATACATTTTAGTGTATGATTTTTTTATTTCCGTCAACCTGTTGACGAAATATTCCATTTTTAGGTTTGGTTATAGGGTGGATGGAGTATTAACCTCTTCATTTTTTTTTTTTTTTTTTATTAATCATCATTAAACATTTACATAGTTAATTATTTACACAATTATTAAAGAATATCTATCTCTTTTAAGCAAGCTTATGATATAGATAGAGAATAATACAATATTGATTAATTTTAAAACAAATAAATAAGAAAAAACTAAAGATAGGTACATTCAAAATAAATTATAAGAATAAATACTATTGATTAAAACTAAGATGAAAAAATAAAATAAAATCAATTAAAACAAACAGATACTAATAAAAAGAACTTAAACAAGTGATAACCCATTTAAAATAAAAATTAGCTCAGGTCTAAAAGTAACCATTTATATAATATCTTTTTAGCATTACTTTACGTAACATGGATGTAATTATCTGTAATTGTTTGTTAGTTTCGCATCAGAAACTTTTTGGTAGGTATATGATGTTTTTGGTCATTGTCTGTCTATTTTGTCATTTATACCGAAAATATGATTTCTGATGCGTGATTATGAAACTACAGAAGATCAAAGAGACTGGCATGGTAATAGAGACACGATTAAAGAGAATATGGGGGAACTGAGAAACTAATCTTAAGGATGAATACCAGAAGAAGAAGAGGTACCTATGCAAGTAAAAACGAAGAATATGAATGTATAATTGACATTCGCTATAAACCGGGGATCTCAGAACTAAATAAGTAGTATTTGGAATGTATTTGGAGCATTCGAATATCAATTACCTGCCTATATCAATCAGATCCACACACTAGTAGGTATAATATTATAATGTAATCGGGTAAGAAAAATAAAATAGTTATTTTAATATGTTCAACTATTTACTTATGTTGAATTCACTTATTAATACTTATATAATATAGTCACAACAAAATAACAAATGTATATTGTTTAATACTAAGCTGCAATAGTTGCATCAACTAAAATATCTATGTAGTTAACCCAACTTTATAACAGCTAACATTATGGGATATTTGAAAATGATGTATTTTACATAATTCCTCTATTCAAGGTGCAACAGTTGAAACAGCAATACACAAATCAGGTTCAATATTTTTCAAACGATTTCTAATACTTGTTTTTATATTGTTCAGAGAAGAAAACGCCTGTTCACACATATATGACGTGGAAAATAGTAATAAATAATAGTACCGTTTTCTGAGAAATAGCTCGATATTCTGAAGCTAAACTTAATCAAAAGGAATTTATGTTCTTTTTCTGACTATTGAATAATATTTGGGTTATAGAACTGGAACACATATCAATGAACTCGTTCTTTTCGTCATTAGTAAGATGAAGTGCATTCACATTGTCTATAGTATAGGCGATTAAGATTAAAATATTTATCTTCATTCGTTTAAATAATACATAATAATAATAATAATGTTTATATAGTTATAGCACAACACATTTTTTTTTCCTTATTCATTTTGGTTACATATTTAATTATTAATTATGAGTATCTATATATTATTATAATTTGAAATGCAAACATTAATTTATTATTATACAGGTCGAAAGCATTGTCTTATATAGATATACGGGCATCATAATAAACACAAGGTATATTCGTAGACACTGAAACATGGTTTATATGCATTATTCGTGTTCATTATCGAAGGCGAGTGTAAAGATTTCACCTATAGGTGAAATCAAATAACTATGCATTTGAGATTATAATAAAGTTTGTATTTTGAATTAATAATTAAATTAAATACCTAGGTACCTATTCGATTTAAAAAACGAGACACGTCATTTTATTTTAATCGTGGTCATTAATGCTGTATACCTACCTATATCCATTTAAAAGACTACACTTGATATTTCGTAAAGTATTAACGTTTATCAACATTTTTTTTTTTTTTTTTGATAATTTAAGAAACCAGCAGCTTTAAAATGCTACATTAAAATCATTTTTTTCGTCCTTAATTTTGAGGGTAAAATGACTGCCTACCTTTAGTTTTCTAATGGTAACCTATATTGAAAATTCCATGAATAAGTAAAGTATTAGTTTAAATGCATTTTGATTTTTGTCATTCCGTTGACGAGATATTCCACCTTTACGTTTGAGTATCTAGCCGGAAAGTATAGTGGAACTCTATTGAGTGCTACGCGCTGTGTTGCCACATTAACTATCAAATCGAAAATCAAAAATTTCAAAAACAAAATCTATTTAAACTATTAATAGCAAAAAATAATATTAATGTGATATTTTGTATCTGTTTAATTCTTAAATGTTCAAAATAATATTTTTGAAAAAAATTAATCGTTAACTTTTCATAATATTGAGTAAAGCCACTTAAACAAATCACCATGCACTGTTTCAAAACAAAATAATAAACATTATAAATATGAAAACGTCTTATCTTTAACAAAAACTAAGAACAAATTAACCAGTTTTAATTATAATGTCTAATTTTGATTTAATATTTTGATTTCCATACGAATAAATGCGCCTATATTAGGTATATAATATAAAAAGCGTAAAAACGTTTTCTATTGATATAGTTCATTAATTTCGGCGTTGATAAATACTAATTACCCACAGTGACGTATATAGAGGAGGGTTTTGTGGGTTCGAATCCACCGAAATTTATGGTTGGTACAGCAAACGCGTGTATTTATGAATCTATTTGGTCTATTTTTATAACCTTCCCCTCAAATTACTTTTTATATACGCCACTGGTTACTTACATTCTTTAGGTAGTTAACTATAGTTTAATACATGTATAACATTTATTTATTGTTATAAAATACTGGATGATTTTTGTTTTTATCTGTGTATTCTCTATTGTAATGTCTGTATACATATTAGATATTGTGTATATTTATATCATATATAAAAAATAAACTATGCTTGTTAGGGGGTTAGGTTAGATTAGGTTACTAACCTAACTAAGCTACTAATAAATATTTATAGTTGGGTAGGTCGTATGTAGTTTATTTACAAACTAGGTATGTAAATAAATTGCATACATTATACGTTATTAATAATTGTGATCAAACAAAAAGCAATCAAAATAACATAACCTGTTTTTAAAATTTGTCATAAAAAAATGTTCAATAATATAAACATAATATGTTTATCACCTAAGATGAATATTTTCAGGACGTCCGTAGGAGAGACCATATTTCCCCAGTTATAATCGAAAGTCTGGTAATTTAGATAAAATACATTTTTTTCATATATATAATAGTTTTAATTTTGGACTTTGCTCTCCCCCCCTCCGGGTTATATTTTTATGGGCATCCTTATCTGAAGAGGGGATAATGCAATGGTCACTTCTGGGTTTTTAATTCCTTAATATATTAAACATATTAAAGTAAAGAGTTGCCCTCCGTCAAATATGTTTTCATTGACGGCTTAACAGTTAGGGCTATCCCCACCATCTCTGAGAGGAGTAGAAATTAACTACTGAATAAAAATAACTATAACCATTCTGAAACGAGTCACCAAGGTACGCCACTGGCTGTAGTACATAATAGCAAACTTAACATTTTAAAAGTGATTACGAATTATACATTAAGGACGTGAAAGATAGCTGATAAGTATATTTTTTTATAGACAAATTCCATAATAAAGACAATAGAATTCCACTATTCACCTAATGTTAATATCTCGTTAATGGGTTGATTGAAATTAAAAATTTTAACATCCAAATATATGATTGTAAAATTTCGCACACTTAAATAATAATAAATAATTATTTAAATTTTAAATACATGTTGTGTACCTACTATAGCTCTGTACGTTTCAAAGTCCAACACTATTCTATTTTATGAAATTCAAATTCTCCCAAATTTAAATGTATAAAATGAAGTAAGACAGGTATGGCTTGTAAATAATATGCTAACCGACTCGGCCTGAGGTCTAGTAACCACTACCTATGTTAAATTTTAAATTTGATAATAATATTTTGGTCTTTAACATACAATGCAGTACAATTATGCATTTATTTAAGTCGTATTAATTGTCAACTGCGGTATAGAAAAATACTAAATAAGTACCTATACGTACTCGAAAAACAAAAATTAACATATAACTGCTTATTGCATTATACTATTAAATACTGACAGTTTATTACGCCAATAACGATTCAAAATACCGTCTAAATTAACTCGGTTAATAATAATAAATACTAATTGCTATGATACATTAATTATTGAAAATTATTATTTTGTCGACATTCTAAAGATTGCAGTATGAATAAAAACGTAGTTAGCCGTGGCTATAATTTGTATAGGTATTGATCAAATAATACTGTCATAGAACTATACAATTATAATTTGATTTCGATCCACTATCATTGCAAAAATGATTTAAGTAGAATTACACCGATATAGAGGAATTTACAGATGAGAAAAATCCGGATTGACCAAAGAGCTAGAAAAGTTGTTAACAAGAAAATAAAAAAACACATATCATAATACATTATGTAGTAAAACATAATAAAATGAATCCAATAAACTCCTCGCTGAGTTCAAAATCTAAAAAAAAATGATTAAACATAAATCGTCATAAAAAAAATTAACAGTAGAATAGAAAACGATAGATAGTAATATTAGTTAGTAGTTATATATTAGTAGTTCATACCTACTGTAAGACACAAAAGGTTGAGGACACGAAGTTAATGAGAGTTTTAAATATTTTGTAAATACAATTTTTAGAAGACATGGCAAGAATCAGTGCTGTAATAAGATAGACTATAAATTAGATACAGATACTCTACTTAAAAAAGTATCTAGATGCAGATACATATATATTTTAAGGTATATTTATGAAAACAGATAATTTATTTCATAAATATTTAATTCCTCGAAAATATAGAATTACAAAATTATAACAAAACAAGTAATGTGTGTATAATTAACTATAATACAATAATTTTTACAATTACAATAATAATTCATAAAAAATGATGTAAGTAAATTATTATAAACGATTTGCTTTTTAATTTTTTTTTTTTCAAAATATGAATGAATACAAATAATTTAATTAATTTAATAGGAAAAAAGAACATGTTATTTTAGTAATTTATAAATTTTAATATTTAATGATTTTAATGTAATCCATGATGTTGGCATTTTCATTGACCAGTATTTTAATATTTGGCTTGATAGACGAGAGTTGGATGCGCATGTCTGCTTTCGCATCTTAGATGTATATTATGTATATATTATTATTATTATTATTATTGTATATTAGATGTATATATGAAAATTCAGTTTCACACAGATATGTTGTTGCAAAAGGAAGAAGTGCTAGTACAGCTTTATAGATTAATATTTTTTAGTAATACTGCTACTGCACCAAAAATCTGTTAATGATATTTTATCAAATAAAGTTTTTAACGATGAATCGGTGGTCATTTCAATAAATTCTTCATACTCCGTTACAGACAAGTCTTTGGGCTTATCATTGATTAAAAATAGATTTTTAATCCAATTATATCGTTAGATAAATTCTATATCTTTACTTTCTGGAAAATAAAAAAATTAAAAATTGCAAAAACAAACAAAAATTACTAATTTTTTCAAATTATTTTATTTTATTTTTTTAAATACACTAATACGTTTAAAATATAAGAACTACAAATATAAAAATATTTTTTTTTTCTTTAATCCGTCTAATTCGATTATCCGTCACCTTCTTTTTCTCGTTGCAGACAGATCATTGAGGTTTTACTGTATGCTTGAAAATCCCGCGTGAATCTGACTTCTGAATAAGTGAATCACTTATTATAACTTTTTTTCTGGTTTCCGTTGGTTACAAGACATTGTTATCAATACACTCGTATTTATTAAATCGCTCATATATTGTTACCTATAATACGACAGTATTTGATTTTTTTCACGATACGATAAAAGCTCTGAACAAATTCGATTACTCTCGAGATTAATATTTCCTTTACTATTTTCTCTTTTTCATTTTCTATTTACTCTCACGTTTTCTACTATAATTTCTATAAAACGTACATATTTATATTTCTACATTGTATTTACTACTTGTCATTGCAATATTCATCATGCCACACCAAATGACACGACGTAAGTAAATATTTTATAATTTTATAATTTCAAATCGAGTAAACGTTTAATTGATTTAAAAAAAAGTGATTTTTCTTTTAATTATTTATACTATTATTTTTTGATTATTTACCGTATCAAGAAACACAATTATTACAAAATGGTTCTCTCAGAAGTGTTATTTACAAATATTCTGTATGCATATTGTTTTAATTTGTTGTTTTTTGTTACCTACAAGAAATTAAATTATGATATATTTATAAATTAATTGCTTAAATTAAATTTAAAGTCTTACTAGTAACAGAATTAAGACTTTAATAATTATTAGTTGGAATAACATTTTTATCAAACACATTTTCATCAAAGAATTAGTATTTTTATTTATTCAAGTACTATAAATAGTTTTATTTTTATCTACAGAGTTTTTAGATACTTAATAGCGCAAATTTTACTGATATTTTGTATAACAGTATAATATACCTATATAATGAATAATACAACAATTTTAGTATGGACAAATGTAAAATCAAGGTGGACAAATTTTAGAAAACGATCGATTTTCAACATTTTCGGAAGGCGTGGCAAAAAGGTGTTATACCGGTATTGGCTATCAAAAAACGACGTCGACCACTACGATCGTATTAACATATGACGTCGTCTTGTGTGTTTTTTTATCTAGATTACGATGGTGCCCATAACGGCAGATGATGGAATTGAAGACATAACGACCGACGAGAACGGCGGTAATTCTAATTCGAACTTCATCTGGACAGATATAGATCTGTATGTATACACACTGCTGATTTTTATTTTTAACGGGAGCATATATAGGGGGAGCGATCGGGCGATCACCCCCCCCTGGGCATTGTTGAATTTGTTTCATGCATAGGTAGTAGGTACATATACTTATTTTATTATTATTAATCAAAAATTAAAAAAAAAAGTTTCTTTTATTTGGAAATGGTTATCAAAACTTCTTAAGAGATTGATAAGAGATCAGATATATTGTAGCTATCATCAACATATACATCTACTGTTGGTTATAATAATTAATACGATTATTGTCTGCACTCTGTAACCATGGTCCTTGTTATTAAATTATTCTTTTTTCGAGGAATGTGACTATAGAGCCGTGATAACTCTATGATAACAAAAATTGATAAGCTTTAATGGAAAGACGACCATCGTAGCAGCACTACAAGTCTGCAGAACTTAGTTTTCGGCGTTTGCCGTAATGAATTAATAAATTAATGAAAACTGCTAATATTCATTAATGCTCAATACTGAAATTCGTAATACATTTATACACGAAATAATAGCTATACATAATAGCTAATAAAGATATTAGGAAAAAAAAGCCTCTGACCAAAAACCACATAAGGAAAAAAAAACCTGACGAAGCAAACAAATACTTCTTTAATATTTATCTTCAACAAAAACTACAATCAGATATTCTTACAATAACCGATATGGATAAATTGACTACAAATATACAACTAAAATTATTATTTGTAAACCCTGAGCCCAAATATACAATATAACATATATTTGGTACTTATACCCACAGCATATTATTTTATACTATTCAATATAGGGTTTTTCAAGCAATAAATAAGAAAAATAAGATAAATATATATATATATAGATTAATAGATTTCCAACAAAAGTAGGAAATAAGCAATAATATACGTGAATCATGTTTTTGAATAACTACCTAATTATTTTTTCTATTTTTTATTTTTTTTTAATGTATTATATTAATTTACAATGGGGCTTTTTTTTCCAAGCCTTCTTTTCAATACCTATGAAAACATTTTCTTAAGATGCCAATAACTGTATTTTTTCCCTAGTGCTTTTTTTCCTTATGTGGTTTTTGGTCAAGGGCTTTTTTTCAGGTGCTTTATCATCCTCAGTTCCTAATAACAGTTATCAAAGTGGGTAGAAATCAATTATTCAAGTTCTAAGTAAGCGAAACGATCGGGAAATTTTGAACTACCGATCTATTTATAATCTATAACACTTCCGTTTATAGACATATACTTTCATAACTAATAATTTATAAGTATGATTAAAGTTCGAATTTTGCCCGCCCCCTGGAAAATGAGCTGAATACGCCCCTAATCGATCATAGATTACATTTTATTTTTATTGTGTGTTGCATGATAAAATATATAATTTATTTTATCACGGTACCTATCTTCTAAATTTATACATACACACCATTAACTCCAATAATTAATTGTGGCTAGTTTGTTGTTGGTTTTTTAATATATTATTTATTATTTCCGCACGCATATATTAGTGCGGAATAATAAAAAATATGAACGGAAAAATAACTCGAGCACAACACTGCAATACACATATTTAAAGTTGTTATCATTTTAAAATTATAAATTGATTAGATATTGATATATTACATTTCACGAATTATCATGTGATATAAGCTTGTCGCCGACTTTGTATCCAGTCGAATAATACCTAGTCGATTGTTTTTCATTCGACTACAGTCATACGTTTTTTCAAGAATATACCAAACATTTATTTTTATGCAATGACATTTTTATCACATGTATCAAAGTTTATTACGATTTTTTAGAATCCCCCTCCTCCGATCAAAGGGGTTAAAATATATAATTAAAAAAAAAAAAACGTTATTGTAATTCGTTCGTTTTTATCGTTTGGCCGTCAATTCAATTTTCCAGTACATCCGACAAGGAGAGCTACGAGCTACCTAACGGAGAGGAAGACACGGAGATGTCGCCCGCCACCAACGTGTTCACAATGTTTGTATACTCATACTTAACGACTACCGCATATTATTCTGTATGTTCCTAAGTCCATCTGCGGTGGCATCGGTTCCCCAATGACATATCACCTTATCAACCGCCGCCTTAAAAAGTCTAGCCGATGTGGCGTGATGCATTTGTTATCATAATTTGTAAACGTAATACTTGTACTTACATCTATTATTATACTAATTATTTGATATCGTTTGTAGTTCCGCTACGTACACCGAAAACTGTGTATTTTTTTATTGTTTCACGGTGTCATCGCGGTATGACTAATGACACCCACTAATGCCATCACAAAACAATAAGGAACATATAGATGTATAACATATAATTGTATAAGTGGCAGCTATATTTTTATCGCGCTGTTTTCTGTATTTCAGTGACGTCGAAAGTCTGAAGAGACAAAAGCGGCTCAGGAAGACTTAGTGGAGAATAACAAACGGGAACAGGTACCTACCTAAAATTACTAATAATGTATGGGCGTCATGCGTTTGGGTGAATTCACTCCAGCCCAGTGACGGATCCAACATCCGGGCAACCTAGGGCATGTCCGACCGGTCCCCAGTCATGTGGCCCCTTTAGCGAAAAGGGGGATTTAATAAATAAATAAATAGGTATAAAAATAGTTGAGCTACAACACATCACATTCTGTGTGTTCCAAAATCAATCTGCTAATCCTGCAGCGGATTGATAGAGTTTAGGAACACTTTTTTTGTTATTCAGTTGAAACATATTGGTTAATACCATTATTTAAGGTTACCAACAGGCCATAATCACCAATATTTTATTCTTATAATTTTTCATTGTTTTCATCGAGATCTTGGAGTATAAACTATAAAACATTTAATTAAAAGTTGAAATAAAATATAATATAGGTATACATACAAGGATTAAATGATTTACAAATCGAGTCAACATCTAAATGTTTTATACAAGTATTTCCAGCTCACAAAAACCGTATTTACATTGTATTATACATGTCGAGTGTTGGAATTGGAATTTGGAAACACGTTAGCACGTTAGATAACAAATTTTAACGCAAATTGTCCCATCAATCTGCTGGATTTAGGAACACACTGATTATTAAACGTCATTATACAGTACAGAATGAAATTAAAAATATATATATTTATCATATTATTATTGTAGTGAGTTAAAAATACCAAAACTGACAACTCTCATTGTCGACCCATGTAGATTTTAACTTAACTTTACATATTGCCGTCAAATTGCTTAATAATTTATATTTTTACATCGTGCGGTTACGGATCATTAAAGAAGTTTGAAGAAGTACACGCATTGATAACTACCTATAAAATATTAATTTAATTTAATTATTAATTAAATAAGTTTCTTATATTAATTATTGTTATTATTATATTATTTGTATTAGTAGTATAAAATATAAGGTACATATATTAATTAGTAATTACGTACTAATAGAAATTATCGAACTCATCGGTTAACGAAGTGTTCACATTTGTTGACCAATTCAAATTAATAAACTTGACACTTCCGTCAATGATTAAATTACATTAACCTTTTATAGGTCGCGCTATTCAGAATCTCGTTAGCAGTCGCGCTGAGGTGTTAACACCGCTATTTTATTTCTTTATTTTCAGTGTAGATTTTAAATACTGTTATATTTTATTTTGCATAAAACATTATAGGAATAATTTACAAAGACATTTTCAAACATTTAAATTAAACAAATAACTTAATTCAAACTTAATGTTATACATATTAAAAAAATTTAACATAAAAATGGGTATTTTATTTCGTATTTACGTTTCAACATTACTAATTTTTAATAATATTGTTATATGAGTTGGTAACATAAATTACATAAGTCATTATTTTATTATGTGTTCTTATATTAATTCTAAAACAATTATTAATAACATTTAATAATTTAATAGAATATCATAATATGGATGATATTATATAAAAAAAAAAGTTTTTTTGCCTAATTGCATTTTATTTATTTGTATCCAATACTTGTGTTGTTTTATAAGTAATTGAAGTAATATTTGTTATAGGTTAGAGTTGAAAGTATTATGTCAACGATGTTTACTTTTTTTTGGGAGGGGGAAAGAATATTTCTCTTACCCATGTTTAAAATGTAAAAAAAATTACTTGGTTTATAATATCTTGTATTTGTAATTATTTTGTAATTATTAATTTGTATGTAATTATGCTTTGCATTAGGATCAACCATAAGTAAGTTTCGGCACTGCCTATGCATAAAAGAAAACTCATTTTTAAGTACGTCGATGATTAAATTGTAACCTAACCTTTTTTACGGTGCAGTCCGACCATTATCGGTTATTTTCAACTCATGTGCAATTCGACTAAAATAAATACAATTCGACCTTACCCTTATCCATCATTAGCCCAGGACCCTTGTTCAAATGGTTTTTTTTTTTTTTTTGTTTATATAATATGTTATTATTATTATTACTATAGCGATCTATACCGGAGTTCTTGTTCGTCCGGTCGTAGTTCAAATCGCGTATCACCCGACGATATTAAGTACTCCGACATGTCCGTCCAAGAGGACTTCAACTATAAGGTATACTGCAACGACTGCTATTTAATTATTTTATTTTTTATTTTTCCGAATATTCGTTATAATATTATCTAATATCTTAAGTGCCTATAATATATATTATTACATTCCCATTCACCTCCCCGTCCGGTTGAGACTATACATATTATTATATTATATTGTTGTAACGACGCGTAAAAATCGTGTTTCGGTGGAAACGATTGTGTACATACGGGAATTTCGGTTTACAAGCAGTTTTAATAATATATATATATGTATACATTTTTTTACTATACGCTTATTATTACGTGGTACCTGCGTACCTACCTACATTAACTCGTTTGCGGGTTTGCCGCAAGACTTACGGCAGTCGTCAGTTAAAGTTGTTTTTATAAATCCGGCGATAAAGCCGTAGCAGCTGATATCACACGTGGGGTGAACTTGTTATAATCGGCGATCTCGTATGAAGTATTCGAATTAATACAACTTTACAAGACAACGCCTCGTTTTATACTGCAGAGAAAATCAAAAAACTACTTATACTTACTCGCCGCAACTAGATTCGAAATACAATAAAAAAAGACTTGTTGTTGTTTTTCTATTGGAAAGATATTTTTGGTAGAAAACATAAGCCGTGTATACATTTAAAATAAAAGAATGCGTCGTTAATTTATACATTTTCATTTTTCGTTATTTTCCGGGTTTTCTCAATTAATACGAAAATTACTTCAAAAATAAAAATACCACTTTCATACTCGCCTACTATAGTCAAAATGCAGCAATAAAATGTCTCTCATCGTTTTTCTATAGCAGCAATCTTTGCGGTAGAAAACATAGTTTGCTAACATTAAAATCAATGAAATCGCCAATCGGTAACACCATAAATATTTACCATTTTACCAATAATTTTCTTTCGGGTTTTCCCAATTATTTCGAAAACTTCTTGGACAATTAAAAAACAACTGCTTTAAATGCACCGAATAGACAAAATTTCCTTTCGGAAAAAGTACTGTACTTTGTACACGGAGCAAGATTTATTTTCTAAAAGTTGTTTACAGACAGAAAAAAAACACATCATAGGTGAAATCAATAGTTTAAAATCGCTACACTATGAATCTAAAAAAATAAAAAATGAATACTTTTTTACCCGAACCCGAAAAATGAATTGTCATTTTTAATAAAACAATAAATTAAATTTTAAAACGGGGATTTTTTTTTTTTTAATGTGCAAAAAAATAAATTATACGAACGTGAATTTTTCTTTTCAATCGAACTGTAATCAATTAATATTGATAGCCCATCATTCATCAATGTGAATTTACGGCTATAATTCAACTGTTTTTTTTTTTAATGACAGAGACACTATAATATAGATCTAGTATAATATTATGGTCTATTGAAATAAAAATTAATGACGACAATTTTAAGTCATTAATTATTCAAATAGTTATGTGATGTTGCATATATATATATATATTAGATAATAAACTAGATTGCTGGGTTCCCTATAACAGTGTCATCCAGGGCCTTTTTAAGGTCACACCACTCATAACGGTTGAAACGCTCGCGCGATGCAATTATGGTTTTCAAGGAAATCGAAACAAATTTATAGTAAAAGTCCATACTGCCCCATAAGCAGAGAAATAACCGAAATAAAATTCTCTCTGGATTTTCTCTCTCTATTTATTATACATTCTGTTTAGATATTTTACGAATTCCTAAACAATTTTTGTAAATCTGCTTACTGGAAACCTACATTCCTATTAATTTTTAAATCTGGTAGTTTACGCTCATCTGAAATTCTCCATAAATTCTGACAATAATACTGTAGTATTATTATCTGAATTTTTACGTTCTAAGAATATGTACATTATAATTAGTTTACATTCTGTATAGTGTTTATTTATGTTCTTTTTATTTTCTGTTATAATATTTTATGGGATTTTTACATTCTGGCTGGCAGTTTTAAATTCTGTAATTTTATTTTCTGTATACTTAGATATACTCTGTCAATCAACAGTCTGATGGTTTTTTTTCCCGGGACATTGTATAGGGACCCAAAGACGATCTACCCATCTAGTTGTTTTATATTTTCTATGGTCCGGAACTCCGGGCGTACGTAAAATCGTTCAACTTTCGGCGATTAATCGTTTAGGAGGTCCGCGCGACAATACAGTAGCCATATTAATAATTATCGTGTACAGCGTGTGCATATCGCCGTTGTGCAATATAATATAATAATATGAATTATCGGGCACGGTGGTTTTAAATCGCACTCTACTGTAATATTTATTATCGTAAAGCGCACACGTGTTGGCTTGCGGCTGACCAACGCAACGTCGTCGGCTGCGGTAAAAGCCCATCGCGTCGTCCAGAGGCGTCCTCAGAGGGGGTGGGGCGAATGGGACAATCACATATACAGTGTACCGTCTCGTAGAGTGTGCCACTTGGTTTTCCGAATACGCTCTGTATAACCTAACCGTTTTCGTTTGGTTTTTCTATATTTGTTTCCGTCGCGGTTGTCGTGCAATTGTTTCACATTGTGCGCGCACAGGCACAAGTGCTGACAAAAACGATTAACGCTCTGGCCGACCGCCAACACCGGTCGGACGAACAGTACTCGCGCGTCAAAGAGGAAAACGCCGCGCTTCAAGATCGAGGAGCGGATCCGCGAAACCGCACTCGGGTACGAGGAACGGTTGGCGTCGCAGGAACGCGAGCACAAGGAATCCGTGACCCTGATCGGCACGGAGAAACAGTCACAAGTCGATAACTGTAGCATAAGGTTAGCGCACAATATTGTTGTACAGTATAATATAATGCGGTTAGGTACTCTTGCCGTATAGCGTATAGTTGTTATCGTTGTATAAACGGGCCGGGTTTTCGTTGTCATAAAATAGGTAGTGCAGACTTTGCAAACTATGCGGCCAAAGGAAAACCTTGTCTAGCTTCTTATGTTCCTTCTGGATCAATAAAAAGCACACGTGCCACATAATAACAATAAATTTAAATTTTAACGTATCCAATACCCATATAATAATCACGGGCAGATTTGATGTTATCGATTTCATCATAATCGATTTTTGTAAGAAATAATATAAAATATTAAGTCTTACACATGATTGGGCGCAGTATCATTCGCGCCGTAATTAAGATGACTTCATTATAGTCGCTGTGATTTCATAAAGACCGATTTAAAATCTAAAATTCAGATACGGAATCGTATTTTAAGGCTAATCAGCCGGTGACTGAACTTTTCAGTTTCAATCATTTTTCGGACTAAAGCCAAGACTTTATTTTTTATTTATTCAAATTTCTGGATAAAGAAACATACATTTATAATTACAGAATCGCCCTGCTGGAGGTGCAGGCCGAGAAACGCAAGTCCGCGTTGGAGCAGGCGCGGATCGAAAACACGTTGTTGATAGAGCAGAAAAACGATCTTTACGCGGGCGAGCAGTGGTCCCAAAACAAAATACGCCAGCTAGAGGCGGACATCAAGAGGTTGAAATTCCGGGAGATGAACAATAAAAAAGCACGTCAGCGATTCGCCACCGTAAACACTTGTCCGCTTTATCATACAACCGAGCCGCAGAGTCTCGCGCCCGAACTTGTCGGATTGTCTCACAGCGACGTAAGTGCATATACACACAAACACACATGTTCGCGAGAATAATCGAAAATTTGGAATTCATTAAAACAGTGGGGGAAAAAAAAAAACGTGTTCAATTAATAATTCATTGTCTATATATTGTATAGGCGAGAAACCTTAAAAATAACAATTTCTACACGGAACAAAAATTCTGATTAAATAATTATTTGGAAGAATACACATAATATTATAACATAGAATACACACATAACACAGCCAGTATTTAATTAATAAATATCAGTTTTAATAATTTATAGTATCTGAGGATAATAATAATTATTACTAATGTAACAATTATACGAACAAACTATTACACAACATAATTTACTATAGACGTCTTAATAATTTTTTAATGATTCAAGTTTTCTATTAGATGTATACGATTCTGAAAATTGTCTTAAGGTGGTACCTTAGGTTAATAATTTTTTGATTTTCCCAGCAGTTTTCCCAATAAAAGGGGAAAATTGAGAAAAAATAAGAAAATGTACGAAATATATTAAATAAAACACAATGACTTTTTTTCTGTGGACAACTTTTCAACCATCGATTTTGCTCCAATTTATAATGATAGCACTTTCTCTGAAGAGGTACTTTAAAAAAGGGCGTTTTTCGATTTTCCTAAGAACCTTCATAACAAGTGTAAAAAACGAGAGAAAAACATGATAAAACAGAGGAAAAATACTGGAAAATCGGTACAATATTAATCAAATATTATTAAAGAATATATAAATTGCCTATTTGATTATTTTACCATAATATGACATATAATTTATTGTTGGCAAAGCATCTCTATTAACTGAATTCCGCTCAAAAACGTTTTTATTAAGCCTTGGTTTATCGTTGCTTACAGATACACATTTATTTCCCCTCAGTATCCTACCTTCCCAACTTTTCACCAAAAACAGTCACTGCACCCATTGTGCGAAATATGTCCATCTTTTTTAATAATTGTTTATTTTACAATTTATATAGTATTGTTACCTACATATTTTTATTACATTTTATTGTTGTTTTGTTATTATAATCGCATTATTTGTGGGTTTATGATGGATCGTTTGAGTTGCCGTTAAATATATTATCTTTTTCTATAATAGTTTTATACCATATTTTCTATTCAACTGTTTCAGATGAGGACCGTTCTAAACGAACAAATAAAAGTCAACCACCAGTTGTACACACATATTGTCCTAAACTATTGAAAACCAACAAATACTGTACAAAAAAACATTGTATAATCATCATCATGTTCAACATTGATTCTATGATCCATACTTATACTTGTTGCTGCTACTGCAGCTGTGTTTGTTGCAACTATCGTTATTTACATCGGGCCACATAATCCGCCGATATGTTAAAATAAAATTATCATTATAATTACTTAATAAAATATGTTTGTACTAATTGTTACTCGTATCTTTCCAAAGGAGACTGTGATGATGCGGTATTAACATTAATATATTTAGCCGTTTTAAAATAATTGAGGCCTGTGCCAGTTTACGATTAGAATCTAAAAGAGCAACCAAATAGACCAATAAAAAAATAGAACAAGAAAAAAATGGACAGCAATTTAAAATTTTTAAGTTAATAATTTATAGTTATGATTATTAATTATCAGTAACAATTTACTAGCATTGATTATATAATAGACTATTTTATTCTATTCTATAATCAATGGTACTGGACTGTAATTTATAATAATTAGGTATCTAGTATAAAGCAAGGTCTTTTATCAGGCCGTGTTAGGGTTTCCAGTTTCTATATTATTTTATTATAAATAATTTAGTCTGTTGACAGTCACATTTATACGTGTAAAGTTTAGTAAATATTATTTAAACAGAAATTTTTAAATCCAATGAAGATGGCGAACAAAATACCATTTATAAATTATTACCAGTAGTCTCGTGTTTTCGTTGCAATGTGTTACACTTCGTGACTATTAGGTATTAGCATTTCATAAATAATATCCATTCTGATTTAATCTATTCAGTGATATTATTAACAAAATAATTCATGATAATTGTAAATGTACCGTATATTTTTGTCTCGATTCATAAAACAAAACAATAATTGTTTCATGTCTCAATGTTCCACTGAAAAACGCAATATTGCCGAAAAAGTGGCGCTTTTCCAGTTGTTTGTCCAGAGGCTTCAATTTTTTATATTTTATACTTAAGACAAGACAATGGCTGTGTTGAAATTTATATGGTGGGGAGAGGACCGTTGATGTTATCTTATAATTTTTTTAACGTAAAATAAATATTTACACATTAATTATTTATTAACTTAAATTTGAATTAGTATATATTACAAAAAAAAAATTTTTTTTATCTTATATGACTACCCAATGTTTTACTTAATTAATTCTACAAGCAATTTTAAATTTACTCAATTCAAATTATAATAAAAAATCCATTTTTTGCTTTTTGTTACTAAATTTGTACAAAACTTCTTTGTGAATATATACCATGATTAGACTAAATCATACTAAAAATTACATGTTCGTTGGGTAACGTCTGAATATTAAATAGTTTATCATTATCAGTTTATGTTATGTTACTAATTGTTATAAGTTTATCTTATCTATGTTTTCAAAAAGGGATATATATATTTAACACAAAGATATTGATATAGGATATAGATGTATAAATACTATAAAAACTAGAGACATTAAGAAATACCAAATATTATTAATTATTATTACTTTATTATAACACACAATTTGTATTAATTTGCTAATTATTTTAGTCTTTTGTGAAATAATAAATAATAATGAATAAACAAATAATGAATTCACAGCCTAATCTTGGAACCTGGGGGTGGGGGGAAGACATACCCCAGGATTTAACTTTGACATCAGCTTATTATATTCAATAAGTAATTACATTTACAACAATTAAAATTGAATAAGACTGAGCAAGTTTTAGATAATAATAGTATGTTACATATTTTGATAAAATATGACACTTTCAACATTTAGTACAAATACATTTTTTTAATTATTTCATTTATTTATAATGACTACAAGTTATAATTTGCATATAAATATGATATTACATAACAAAACAGTAGTCTTAAACACTCCTTAAATAAGGTGCATGGTCCAGAACAAATAGTACTATGAATGGACGACATGCGCGCTTATTAGGGACATTTTTCAAATGTATTTCTGGGATTGGTGACGTTTCATTATTTTAATTACACAAAAACATACTACACATTTCTGAAACACTTAATTGTTGGTCAAATTAATTAATTTTAAAAATATTCACATTAGTATAATTTACTAGTTGATTGCAAGATGGAACATGTTGAAAAGGATGGGTTCTGTGTACTTAGATATGTCAACTTACAAACTAAATATTGTTTTAACATACAGCATCTTACAATTACATCACAGATAAATAGTGTATACAAAGTCAAAATCATTAATTCCGGACACTAATTAAATTAGTCAATAAATTGATTAACTCTGTATAAATCACGTACATATTTCATTTATCTATACAACCAAATCAAATATATTAAATTTCCATAAATCACAGTAGGTATATAAAGTTATCTCACAAATATGCCATTTTATAAACTACATATATTAATAGTATAATCAGCACGAATATCTACTTAAAAATGTAGCATAATTAAATTGTAGATACATAGAAAACAATATTCATGCATTTATTTGACAACTTGTTGTAATATTATGTTTAAGCATTTTGATATTATTAAAATATTGCACTCAAAACACAAAGCAACTCTTTTATTTTTGATAACTGATTGTTTATTTTATCACAAAAAAACAACACATTAACAATATATTATTATTGATATTACACAAAAAAAGTCTACTTAAATAAAAAGGTAACAATATAAATAAAAGTACTGCCTATTTTTTAAATTGTATTGAAAAATGAAAATATATTATTGTGGTTTTTGTTCAAAAATAATTACTTTTCATTGCATATAATTTAAATGGTAAATATGTAAGATGGTAAAAATTTCAGAAATGATGTATCTATTAAAAAAAAGCTATTTGTACCTTGGTTATTAAGATTGGGAAAATACCCTGAATAATATTGTGTTCATGGTTGTAATAGTTTATTTATAACAAATATACAAATATAAGTCATATAATAAAGCAGAAGCTAAGACAATATCTGATAGATTTATAGCTGTATTAATACAAGCACACACTAAAGTAGTATTATACTAGTGTATTCACTAATAAGCTCATGAAAATAATAATTAAATGGCACAAACGGTTTTTTTTATTATCTTTTTTTCTTTTTTGTCAAAATATATATGTATCAATTTCAAGGCAGTTACTTTAATCATATAGAAAAAATATAAATATAAGATAAACTAAATATTTAAACAAAACAAAAAATAAATAGAATATTATGTACTTAACAAAGAGTACATCAATAAAACGACTATCACACCTTTTTTTTTTTTTACTTTTATGTTATAACAGTATTGTGCAATTAATTATTTCAAATTTCAGACTTTAAGCTTTAAATTAAATTGAATAACATCAACTATTCTGTAAGACAAGAATCACTATCAATTAAACTTGTAAAACAGTTTCCCAGTATAGTTGAAATCAATTCTGTTTATAATATAGTATTGGAAAAAAAGTATACATTAAGTACAATAAGTAAATAATTGTTTAATTTACTGCGGTTGGCTGGTCGTATGTGGTAAATTCGATGCAGACAAGCTTTGAATGTCACTTAACAAATTATTACCTGTAAAACAAAACCGTTATATTTTGAAGTTTTGTCGGTGTAACAACGATTGCGTTTCCCCTCCATTACTTTGCCTCACGACTGGTGGCTGCTGTAATTGTCAACTCGGTTGACTTCTAGATGTCTGAGGTTGTCCATTGTTTAAATTTTTATCATCGTCAGATGCTGTTGGTGATATACGAATTGCTTGATACCATTGGTTAGTCAGATCTGTCATCTGGGTTTTACAGTCTTTCAGTTCCTAAAATTATTAGTTTATGTTTTTGATACAAATATTGTTAATTTAGAATTTTAAATTACTAGGAGCCTATTTTCAAACATATTGAAACTGGCCTTTAAACGAAAACAGATACATTTTTAATATCCATGAGAAATCATATTAACAAATAAAATTAAACTGCTTTTTTGATAATTTTCTATAACTGGTATTTGGATATAAAATGCTTATATTTGATTGATTATTCGATTGAAATAGGAAAAAGTATTATTATTCTATCACAGGTTTTCTGGCAGCTGTATTATTAATTTAACTATCTTATTACACTCAAGAAATTTCTAGAGATTACATTTACATTTTTTAAAAGTTATAGCCCATTAGTTTGTGGTTTTATTTCTTTGTAACCAAGTGTCTGTATACTTTCATGTTCGACTCGATAAATTATATTGCTATTTTTTTTATTATTTTATCATTTTATCATTTTTTTATTATTATTTAGTGTAGGTTTATATTTTTATACCATAGGTACCATGGCTTATGACAATGACATAGTAATGGAGTTGAATAATATTCAAAATAATATAATAACTAATCAATTATTAAATGTGATACCTAATACTTATATTTATTGTAAGCATTAACTGCTATGTAATTTTTTGGAAGTGGTAATGATCAACAAGATATTAGGGAACATAGATAAGCAACACTCAGTCAGCCCTCAATTAACAGATCTATCACTGAACAATATTTGCATGCATCTAATAACAAATGTAAACTATTATAACTTGTAATATCAAAATAAAACTTATAAAATGTTTTATTTCATGAAATACAAATTCTTTTTAGTGATAATTAATTTGACAATCGAAAATAATATTTATGATTTACATTATTTGATCACCTTCTGAGAATACACTCAATTGAAAACTATGGATATAACAATGGAATAAACTTTTTAAATTGAAAAGATAGTTCGAATAACTCTTTTTGATGTATTTGAGAATAGGCCCCCTGCATACAAATAGAATGTTTATGTTAAATATGTATTTTTTAAAATTTACTTCTTGTGTAAAACGTCTAGTAAAGAATGGTATGAAGTATTTGATATCTAATTTAGCAAAACCACTGATTCTTGATTGAATAAAATTGACTTCCAATTCTTCTTCAGTTAATTCTGATAAATGTTCAGAATCAATTGCTTGTCCCTAACATAAATGTATGCAAATAATTACTGATAATTTTAAGTTAATTTTATTGGTGTTTATTAAAATTACCCATTCTTTTGTTTTACTAAGAGATATAGCTTTATCTTTTCTTCGTCGGCGAGTACTCCTCCCAGCTTTAGAGGATTGTAAAATCTACAAATAAAATTGAATACCACAATAATTTCAATTTTGCCATTAAAAAATAAAAGGTATACATTACCTTCATTAGTGGCATTGTTGAACCACCAAATAATAATGTTGTGACTAATATTATACACAATGTAGTTGTGATTATCACGTGTCTTGTTTCATTACTAAATTCTAAATGTAATGACAGCGCATATGAAATAGCTCCTCTTAATCCTAGAATAATCAATTTTTTGCATATATTTATAATATAATAATATAAATAATAAGTAGAGGTAGACTTATAGAATAATTTAACAGTATTTAAAAAATTAAAAAAAAAAAAAACTCTAGCAAAACTCTACACTAAATCAAATCTTTCTCCACCTTTTGCATTATAGAAATATTTCCTGTAAAACAGTACATAACTTAATACTATAATAACGACATCACTATGCTACGTCTACCTATAATACTTCCAAACAAATGGTGAAACTACCAAAAGACATATCCTTGATACTAACACAAAGCATATTGCATTATACACAAAATTCCATTCCCCTAGCTTCATCGGGCCTGTAAGTGTGTTCAAAGCTTAAAAATCACGCCTCTCCCTTTCCCAGAAATAACATACAGAAATTGATCTATGATCACTTTAGATTGTGTATAAAGCAAGAGTTTGAGCTCATTTGATCCATGACTCTATAATATACAGGTGTAGCAGATTTATTTAACAAATGTAATACATTTTTTTCCATTTTTAAGTGTTTTTTTTTTGTTGTAACAATTATTAGAACTGTGCTATAATTTTAGATTCTGAATGGATTGTTCCAAGAGTTTTCCCAATAAATTGAAAAAACCGAAAACGGGAAAATATATACGAAATGTATTAGTAAAATATTACATCCTTATTTTTCTGTGGACAACTTTTTCACTAGCAATTTTACTCACAATTTACAATGATATCATTTTTTCTTAAAAGAAATCTAACTGGAGTGGTACTAAAAGGTAATTTTTTGATTTTCCCAGGTTTTACAAAATAAATGGAAAAACCAAGAAAATAGGTACAATATTAGGCAATTATTATTATAGTGCATAATTATTTTACCATAATATTGTTGACAAAGCAACACTGTCAATTAAACTCGTTACCGAATTCATTGTTTTTAATATTTGCAAATTATAGTTTTTACCAGAAATATTTCTCTAATCGAAAAATAACAAGAAATCTTTTTGGTCCTTTTAGCAAATATCCACTGTTAAAGAAACTCGTTTTGATAGTCTTGGAAGTTTTTGTTATAATTGAAAAATCCGGAAAATGGCGAAAAATTAAAACTGATAAATTTATTATTAATATTCCTTTATTTTACATTTTTACGGCTTATGTTTTTTACAAAAAAAAAACATTTATTTTTGAATTTTTAAACCAGTTGTTGAATAAGAAAGTCATCTTATGATATTTTTTTTTAATAATTCAGCAAAACCAGAAAATATGTAGAAAGTACTAGAAAATGTACAAAGATAATTCTTTATAATTATTTTAAAATTTTCTTTTTTTAATGTAATTCAATTAAAAATATTTGTAGAAATTTGAAATTTTCTAGATTTGGTATAATGTATAAGTCACTTTGAGTTTTATTAGTATTTTAGTTTGAGACACTTTTATTGAGTCACTTTTGAACTATTTATCGCATTTAAAAATGTCAATATTATCATTAGGATCCAAATACCTATGCATGTTTGATCAGTTTATGACTAAACAAAATTACAATAATTAATTTTCTTATCTGATCAACTAGGTCAACTAAGATCATTTACTGTTAAATTTTCTTATGGAAGGTCATTCACAATATAAAATCTAAAATAATAGTTTGTATGCTTGTCTTTAATGTACAGCTAAATCTATGGCACATGGTGATTTGAAATTTTGAACATAAGTAGATAAATGGTATCTAAAAATACCTAAGGATTTTTAAATTTAATTTTCTATATAAATTCAATGATTGCAATTTTTGGATTTCTGGTTTCATTTAAATACATAAATTTATTCAATGTACCTATATTCTGTAGAAAATATGTTTCAAAAAATATACAAATTATAGGAAAAAAAATTTAAAATCTGATATATTTCATATTGATAATCAAAGCAAGAATGTTAAAACTTAATACCCATTAAATTTTAAAAAGGATTTTTTTAGTAATGAGACAATTATTATTGGTAGGTACTATTATACTTATATATTAATTTGGTTGTCACTGGAAACACAGTGTAGAATTGCTTGTAAGTATTGAAGTATTGAGTAATATACTATTTATTTATACTTAAAAAAAAAACTCACCACTAAACCACATTATGAACATCATATGTTTTGTGATTTGGTGTTCTCTGAATTTATTGCATAAATAAGCTAATGGAAATATATTACATGCACGTCCAATTAAACACAAAATTAAACTCCAAATAACTAAAGCCGGTTCAAAGTGTAATCTGAAACTGAACAATGCAAGTCCAAGATAAGCAAATACGCATGTTTCTGCAATAAATGCCAATGTCCTCATTGTCTGTTGCATTGTTATTTGTGTAACCGTTGACAAATTAAAATGAGTGTAATGCGACATGACAATTCCATTGAAAAGAATAGCCATTATTCCTAAAATACAGAATAATGTGTCAAAATTATTAACTAGTTATAATATGAAACACAATTTACCTGATAAATGAATACCCTCAGCTAAGACATAAGGTGCATAAGTGAACACCAACATCATTGCAAATTCTAAAGAAGGAGTTTTCCTCAAGTCTACGTATTTTAATAACAATGCACTGATTAACGCAAATATCACTCCAATACCAGCTGAAGCAAAAAACATTAGGCAAAATTGTTTGATGCCTGTTAATACAGCTTCAGAAGTACTCATCGCTGGACCATTAGACTGTAATACAGATGTAGTCAAAACAATGGCAATAGCATCATTTAATATACTCTCGCCAAACACTAACATGTTTAACACAGGATCAACATCTAACGCATGAAAAATAGCTACAGTAGCTACTGGGTCAACAGCTGAAATCAATGATCCAAATGCAAAGCTTTCGACAAAACTTAATTTGTATGCAACTTGTGCCAAACCAAGGACATAAACACCAGCACCAATAACTAATGCAGATATAGTGGTGCCAATAATGGCAAAAACCAGAATGGAACCGATGTTTTGAAAAAAATTTCCTTTATGTAAATTATAACCGGATTCGAATATGATTGGTGGTAAAAGCACGAGAAAAAATGCTGTCGGCGAAAATGCTTCTTCGTTACGCCAGTTAGCAATATGCTGTTCAGACATGAGATTGATAACGAGACCAATAACAGCGCCTAGGAACACAATAACTACACTTTCGGGTAAGTACTGGAAATGTGTGGACAACATCAGATGTATAAGCAGTATGCCCAAGGCAAGAACACTGAGCACGAAAAAAATGGCAATCGAACTGTTACGTTCTTCTTCAGCAGATCCTTTTTTCGGCAAAACTGGCTCACCGGGCGTAACAGCTGTCGACTTTTCAGTGGAGTTGGTAGTTGTCTCGTTTAACGGATTGCTTGGCGTTACCGAAATGGTGTCTGAATCACCCAAATTCTGGTCGACTTGCGTTTCAACTTTTTCGGCGTCTAATGGTTTATTAGAATTAAGAAAATTAATATCTGGTATTGTGTTGGATGTAGAATGGCCCATGTTAGTGGAGTTTTCCTTAGTGTTCTTAGTGACGACACTGTGGCACACGACGCACAGAATAAGAAGGAAACGCAGCAGCATTTTGTTGCAAATACGAAATAACAATGCAAACCGAAGATTTATTGTAATAACGAGAAATGTCTACAATCAGTATTACGGCGAAAATACTGAGTGCGTTTAGGGCGGTGATTTCGACATCGTTCACACTTCACGCGTTCGACATTATACGCAGCATAATGATTCGGTCGTACATGATTGTGTATTTGTGTGTCTTTATTATTTGCGATAATACGTAAAAAAACGAAAAGCGCACGAGATAATGTGACGATCGCCCGTGTCCAGTGCAAAAATATAACAAAAAACAACGCACCGTATTTCCGTATACCGTATGGATGAAAAACTAGCAAACAGCCTTGAAGTTGATAATGCAACAGTATCACTGTTATCTATAGTAGTTTTTTGATAACTGATTATCGTCACAAAATCAAAGACCAATGAGCGCACGCTATTCAAACGTGAATGTATCATTGGCCATCTTACAATACCTACTTGTTAAACGGTTTTTTTTGTTTTTAATTGACTAGACGACAACCGTCAGAGTACACTATTACTATACTACTGATCTGTATTAACAGTCTTCAAAGTGACGAAATCGAAACTCAAATATATTAACTTAAAACTTAAAAGTCGGAGTACAAATATATAATAACATGGCCCATAAGATTATGTTAAATTAGATTAGCATAGACGAAGACGATCAAAGAACGAACATTTGCTTTTTATTTTTATTTGTTCATAGCCTCCAAAAAATATCAACGGACAATAACGATTAAATCGAGTAAGTTAAATAAGTTTTTCACTCAATATGAATAATATTTACACTTTAAAATTAAATGAATAAATATATACCATTAAAATACCTATTATACCATACAATAACAATTGTTTATGGAAATTAATGTTATTTTCTACATGTGAGGAATAACAAATGAAAACCTAGTCAATTTGATATATAATCACACCTGGCTGACAATAAGAGAAAGAGAGAAAGAAACATGACTATAGGCTAATTAAGATTGAGGTGTCGAAGTTAGCGGTGTGCATAAACCAGAAGATGACTTAGAAAAGATGAAAGTGAGAAGGGAATATAGAAAGGGACAGATGCACGAGTGATATGGGGAAGAAACTACAAAGTTCATTTGATAAAGAAAATTATGAGAATCAGTATTACCTACCTATTTGAATACTGGATAGGAAAAAGATTAAGCGCTCATTCGTGAGACTAGGAAGATTTTGGAATCCTTAAACAGGGAGTCTAATTATAGACCCAGGGGAGAGGAGCTTAAGGGAGACTAAATCTATCAGCGAGTACACAAAAAAAGTGTCACTAAACCTTCTCAACCAAAGCACTTGCATATGCCATAGAGGGTCCCTGAAGACTCCCATATTCAATGATCGGGCAAACTAAAGTACAGTAAAGCAATTTAAATGTTTGAATATATTTGGAATTGAGGAAAATGAAGCCTAAGAGCTTGAAGACCTAGTCAGTTTCTATGAGCTTATTGGGGAAGAGGATTAGGGTTAAGATAAAACCAAGTTTGCTTATGGAATCTTTGACTTGATTTACAAGAACATTGTTAATAAGGTCGAAAGACTCGCCCCAGACAACCAAACAATGTTGGTCATCTTAAACAAGCAATCAGAGAGAGAGTTGATATACGGAGATATAATTTCATGTCATCGACAAATATCCAAGAGCTTGGCATGGTGAAGAATGGAAGAGGCAGAATGTAAAAGTGAATAGTATAGAAGATAATAAAAATCCTTGGGGATTTATGACGTCTTTATTTGAAAAACAGTTATTTGTTCCATTAATAGATAAACAAAATGATGTGTCAATGTCATTTAATGATTTATTTGATTATTAATCGTCTAGCCATTATAACATAACCACCACAGTTGGTTCTACTTTAAAAATTAAAATTCTGTGCAATAGTGTTTGCAAATCTTGCTATGAATACATTAGGCAATGGACAATCACTGTTGAAGGGTAAAACAATACCAACCCTTAAATTATATACTGTATACAATTTTGCCTGTAATATTAGTGGTGTTTTTAATTATCCATTATTTAATGTATAAATTTGTCTTAATTAAATAAGCTCATCAAATCTAAAATTACCTTTTATCACTTTACTTAAAGTGTTGTCAAGATAACAGAATATTATTGTTAATAATGGTAAAACTTGATCCATGTTTGCAATGAAAGGTTCATATATTAATATCTATCTCTAATTCTGATTAGAGTATAGTTAAATAATAATAATTTCATTTTGGTACTTCCACTTACTCCCAAGTACTTCTAAGGACTTACAACATATTTCCCAATATTTGTACACCTTCCACTAATAGTTTACCCCCTGTTTTTTCCCAACATTAAAACACCTTATGTGTTAACAAAATAGGTGTGTGCATGTGTATATTTATTTGGTACATTTGACATTCTATATCACAAATTTGTATGATTTTTTTAACTACACTACATCACTATTCAGGGTTTTTTATTATACTTAAAATGGAAATATCTATGCCTAACATTTAACACACAAAATACATTTCCACTAATATGTATCTAAGTGGCTTTAAATATTTTTTTGTAAATCTGGAAAATATATTTCCATTAATAGTCAATGGGAAAAAAATACAATTTTATTTACAATACAAAATTTACTTAATTGTATTTATATATCCTACCTACCTAATTGCATTTTAACATAAAATATTGTTCTTATTTATACAGTTTATATAATATCTACAGCTGATTGAGTTTATAATCAACAAAGATGGCTGAAAGTGGACTGAAAAATGAAGTTGCTCTAAACATCGAAAAAATTATGAAAGAAACTCGTACTCAACGTCCTCCAAATCACCGATGGAAACTCAGTGATTTTGAAATTGGAACGCCTCTAGGCCGTGGAAAGTTTGGTCGTGTTTATCTTGCCCGAGAAAAAACTACAAAATACATGGTTGCATTAAAAGCTATGTTCAAATCAGAATTAGTGAAGGATCACATGGAACATCAAGTTCGTCGAGAAATTGAAATTCAGACACATTTAAATCACCCTAATATTCTCAAAATGCTTACATATTTTTGGGACGAAAAAAGAATATTTTTAATTTTGGAGTTTGCTCAAGAAGGTGAATTGTTTAAAGTATTGAACAATCAGCCAAATAAACGTTTCAATGAACCGACAGCTGCATATTACATACGACAAGTAGCTGATGCCCTAAGGTACTGTCATATGCAAAGTGTTATTCATAGAGATATAAAACCAGAAAATCTCCTATTATTTAGTCACCATGTTATCAAGTTGGCAGATTTTGGGTGGTCTGTCCATGCACCATCTAAAAGTCGAAGCACCATGTGTGGCACCATTGATTATTTACCACCAGAGATGGTTGACTCCCAAACATATAATGAATTTGTGGATAACTGGTGTTTGGGAGTGTTATGTTATGAGTTCCTATGTGGTTCACCACCATTTGAGAGTGTAGAACAGAAGGACACTTTTAAAAAAATTAGAGCTGTAACATATGGTTTTAAACCTCATATGACTGAGGGTGCTAGAAGTTTGATATCCAAACTTTTGGTTAAAATTCCTAAAAACAGATTACCTTTAAGTGAAGTGATGGATCATCCTTGGGTCAGAAAAAATTGTGACATCTTTATTAAAACAAAACTCTAATCTATCTAATAAATTGATTGCTTATTTACCTACTTTATTTTACAGTATAGATAATTATTTTGAGATTAATAATTATCCTTAACATAGTATCACATGTTTTATAAATAATAATTACACAGGTTAGGTTGAAAAACATTTTGTAAATTAATAATTGGAATGTACCAGGATTTAAATATAATATGTAAACAAAATATTACTTAAAATGACTATTTTATTTGTTCAAATAAAGCATACTAGTTTACAATGTTTCAATTTTACATTAAACACTTGCATATTAAATCTGTATGCGGCAACTGCATGCCTAATTAAGAAAATATATTAAGTCATTAATTCACTTTTAACAATTAGACAAAATAGTTTTAGCATCTAATATACTTATATTGTACATTAATAACAAATAGTTTCAACAGACAACAATTTTATGAAAAAAAAATATATCACTATAGTACATCAGTTCAATGACCCTTTTAAGTGTAAGTTTGGTCTTCCAAAAAATAATAATAATAATAAACTTTTAGCATATGTATTTTTAGAACTTGGAAGTTTGCAATGTATATGACAAACAAATCATTAAAATGATATACTTATATTAATTTCTAGGAACTATCCTGCTATTAAAAAAGCAACCAAAAGTTACAAAATTAATTATAATTTTCTTTTTTATTGAAATAAGATTTGTTTTGTGTTTTCCTTTTAACATTCATAAAATAGTATTTTAAAAAAAAAAAAAAAAAAAAGATCAATAAAGAAATATTGTTTTCATAAACAAACAGTAATTTACATGAATGAGGCAAAAATCAATACTCAAAATTGATGTAAAAAATTTTAACAAATTAAAAATAGTATTACATCTCATAATGTTCAAACGATAGATTTTAAAAATAAAATTATTACACAATAAGTAATTTTCGTTTTTTATACAAATTTCAGTCTTGTTCAATAATTCACAACATAAATTTGTATAAGACAATAATAATAAAAATAATAACTATAAATAAAACAGCACATTAAAGGAAACAACAATAAACTAATCAATACTCACATACAATAACAATATTTTGAAAATGGTATTTGTAAAACATTTCTACTAAGTAACACTACATAACTACTAGTTGCCATATATCCCCTCCCATCCCATTCAAAGTGTCTGTAGACATACGACACCAATTTAATTCTACGATTTGTGACACAATATTTACTAATCATATGCGTGAGTGTTCATGTGTCTTCGATACATTGTGAACTATGGGCGAGTCTGGTAAAACAATTTCTATTAAATAATTCACTACATTCAAAGTTCACGGCACTGACTTGGTGATATTGTTGTACAAACGTTTAATCCAATATGTGTCCAAATCAAATGCTTGAAAACCTATTAAGAAATCAGTAATTAATACAAATTACAAATTTTACTACAAAAAGTAAATAATATATATACCATTTAGAACTTCAGCAGTGTTTTCAGGTTTAAAATAAACTATTTTCTGTGAACCTAATAAAAATGATTACATATTGGTAACAAAAAAAAAAAAAATAATAATAAAATAATAATAGCGTACTTTTCGATGATTCTTCATTATCTATAACTGAATGCCAAGCTGAAATATAAATCAAATAATATTGAAAATTTATCAAATTCAAGTACTTTTAATAATAAAATATGATTAAAAATATTTAATTAAGGTACATTAAAGGATAAACTAATACAGGGTGGGACACAGGAATAGAGGCAAAAATAAACGAGTTTTTGTCAACGCTGAATGGAAGTAAAAAGGGTTAGATAAGCTCATTCAATCAGTCAGAATTTTTTACAAATTTTAAATACAATAAAACACTGTATTAAAATACATATTATATCTATTTATATTTTAGTAAATTCAATGAATAAAAAAAACCTATATAATAACAATCTTGTAAATATTTTATAAATAAATAAATTATATTAGTTCTTTTTACAATGTTTTACAATTAATTTATAATATTGGTATAATAAGAACAATTTTTTTCTGTACTTAATTTAGATTAAGAATTCAAGTTATGTTACCAATGGGACACTCAGGAGTCAAGACTGTTCTTGTCAACTAAAACATTTTCATTTATTTGATTTTTAAACTGAGTTTATGGCTGATAACTGACCAACAATAGTCAATTATCTTATACACATGTGTGAGAACAGCACTTAGAAAACAAGGTTGTAGTTTGAGAAGTACCTAATTTACTAAATTAAAATATTAGCTATCTAGATGTCTTAAATTTAAATGTCTATCTTTTTTTTATTATACTTTAAATTAAATATATGGCCTACCTATTATGTAATGCATGCATTATAATACTAATTAAAAAATTTAAATGTATACATAATTAATTGTATTGTATAAATTCATACTTACACTCATTAATATAATTTATGAGTTTTTCGTGTTGGGGACTTAGGACGTCATGAGGTGAAGAACATTTGTTCAGATAAGCCTTACGATGACTGTTGGAATGAAATATGGGCTTTGGTTCAGGTCTGTAAAACATACAATTAGGAAAATTGAAAATATCTTTGAATATATAGGACACACAGTGTATTATAAATTATGCGTACGATGATAATTCTTCTTCTTCTGTTCCGTTGACTTTTTTCAAGTTTTCACGAAAAGAATCCAGCCGATCAAAGCTGTGTCGAACTCCTGGAGAAAAATTATTTGAACCAAAATCATAATTGCATAACTTAGCGTTATAAATAGGTAACCTTCGGGGTAGATATTTGGAATAATAAAATGAACTCACCTCTTCTGGTTTTTGCTGTCATATATTTACTGGGTGTTTTTACAGCGTACATAATGTTGAGTTCGGTTTGAACGATTAAAGTACTAAAAAATCGTTGTAAAAATCAATATTTACATAAAAATAAGAAAAAAAAAATTAAAAACTGAAATAAAATATCATTTAAATAACGTGATGAGTTTAGGAACTTCCCTCGGTGAGAACTTTTCATGTAGGAACCGAGAAACGATAACTGATTAAAAATCTGCCGCTACGGTGATGTTAGTGACGATTATTTTGTATTATCAAGTAACTGAGATTCCCGCCACACCGACTCGATTTAATGTCCACAAAATATACCTAGATAATAATAACATAATGTTTTTATTATATAAAATCTTTTACACAGTTCACTATATCATTGTACAAATATATAAAAATCAAATTAATGCTCATATAATAATATTATTACATTTACCAACACGCCTAAGAAATAGCGGTCATTATAATAGAGATTGTTGTTTTGTCGAGGACATAACACGGATTTCAATACTTAATTATAAATTTTAGATTCTTGAGATTATTTTTCCCTTAAATCTTAAAACACGTACCCATACCTAGTTATTATTTTCTGCTTTAATCATTTAGGCCTAAGTAACAATGTAATATACCTACTAGTTGGAGAATAGATATAACATTGCTATCCTTGTCAGTTATCACTGGTGAAATTAAATAATACTTACTTATATATTATTTGGAATTTTATTTTTAATATTACACCTATTTTATAAATCATTTTTAGGACCCTCCTCTTCAAAAAAAATATGAATACACTACCTACCGGCCCTTATTACTGCAAACGCAAGTCGATTACAACAAAATCAGTACCTATCTAAAGTATTAGTGTATTCTATACTTTACCTTTACTATACTTCCCATTTCCCGCTAATAAGTACTTAATACAAATTAATTTGAATAAGTATTAATTATTATCAATTAAATTATTATTATTATTATTTATCTGTTCGTTTATTATTTTGAAGGGGAATTGATAGGGGATGAAACCGGTGTAAATAGTTTGCACCGTGTGCATATGATGGTGCAGAAAACCAGTGTCGTTAATTTTAACACCGGTTACTTCAAACAAATTCTCAAATTCACACCAGTTTTTATCAACGAATTTCTTGTAAGTGTACCGGAACTTAGGAAAGGTATTACAAAACTAGTTTATTTACCATAAATACGTAGGTATACGGAGGGGGAAAGCTAAATTTTGAATATTTATATAAAACATATTTATTATGACTTATGAGTTCAGATTAAGTACATAGGGAAGTATATAGATGGAGATAAGAGGATGCCTGAATAACAATTTTTTTTTTTTGTGATTTTCTCATACGAATCGATGTATCACATCACTTTTTCCATTCTAGTAACATCGTGTGTCAATAAATGTGCAAAAATAAAATGATACATCCATTCGTATGAAAATATCATGGAGTAATTATTTTTAAACTCACGCAAATATTTTGAGAGTAAATAAAAAAAACCTAGGATTTTATGGTAGTAAATATACCGCAACCCGGCACCCGTCGATTTTGTTATTTCTCTCCATGTTTCAGAAAATATTTTTCTTACAGCCCTTTCACCTTAATCGAAATTTCCAAAGGCTGCTTTCTAATCGGGTTGTTTCAATAACGGCCTTTATCATTAACCCCTGTTTCCTGCCAGTGGCGTAATTACGGAGGGGATTTAGGTGTCGTATCCTCTCCCCCAATACCTTTTTATTTTTTAAAGACTGGAAAACTACATTTATGTACTTATTTAACTATACAAATTATTATAATATTATATAGTCTATATTTTACATAAATAATCCAAAAAACCCGAATCCCTTATGCTAGCTGGGTAACCGGTCAAAATATCTCGGCAAAAATCCGGCCTCATCATCTTACCGCCTAGTAATGTCCGACTGGTTGCCATGACCTATAATACTCATTGTATACAGTATACACCGTTGTTCGCCTCACTCTGCTATACACAGAGTGACCCAGGTTCCACAACTCGACCTTTAATTTTGTCTGTACCGACATTTCAACATGAAAACATCACCAGTTACCACCCGTTCCACCTTGAATTCTCCTTCAACGTCTTTAAACGTTTCTGTTGCTCTAGTCAAAAATACCATCACACCATCCTTGCATAACATAACCACTGCTCCTTATCTCGAACCAACAAACGTTGACATTCTCTCAGCTATCGCTGATTTACGCAAAACACAAAATCATGTACTTATGCGGGAAATTCCTGCACACATGAGGAACCTGTTTCAGTCTTCTAACTGAGGTTTCTTTTCGTTGAAAAGAGACCTGGAGTTCTTGGTAATGTCTTTCTCTCCAGTCATCGGTAAAATCTATCTAGTAGGTATAGCCCAAAAATACTACTCAGAACTTTCCTTTCGAAGATCTCCAAACCTTATTTTCTCTACTTATTTGTGAGGCCGTGTTTCCAAATCGTACAGCACTATTGAACGTATCAACATCGTACATACTTTAACAGATTGTTTAAGATAGCTTTGGACCCGAGTGATTTTCCCAAACCATAATAGCAGTTATTACTTTTTCTAAGTGTAGGTATAGAATGCGAGTTTAGAGAAACAGGACAAGACAACTTACGGCAATAAGCGGTCACGTAGTAGGCTAGATTAAGAGTTTTAAGTAGGTACGGTACCTAGGTATCTAGGATAATTTATTTTATATAAAAACCGTTGTTTTTAATGTAGATATAAAACATAGAATGAAGTTTTAAATAAATATAGTTTTAACATTGATTTTCAATAATGTACTTTGTACTTACTTAGGTAGGTACTTACTGTGCATTTGAAATATCTACTGATAGATTACTAGTGTTCATTAACATTAAGTATTGTGTTTGATATCTCAATTAAAAATAAAATGTATATACCTAATTATAATATAATATATAGGTATATGTGAGAATAATCAATTCAACAATACGGAATTTCGATTTCGTTGTTCAACTTTCAAAGTAAGATAGATAGGTACATGTAATTTGTTTTTTTGTTATTTAATTATATTGCTTTTGTCCTACATAGAATTAAACCAAAAAAGGAATTGTAATTATGGTTGATTTACATTTTATATCTATGAGAAAAAATTCAAGTTCAAATTCGACTGAACAATTTCCTAGGTTCGGTTCAGTGGAAAAATATAAAAGTTCTGTTCAGTTCGGGTTTGATGTCAAAAATCAGGGTTCCATATATCACTAAAAATTACCAACATGAATATAAATAAAAACTTTTTTAAGTAAACAATATTATCAATGAAAACTATAGTATTTTTCAAGTAAATATATAATTTTATAGTAGTTTTAAATTTTGGAGTAATTAGTTAATGATTAATACAGTACTAATTTTAGTGGTCTGAATTAATTGCTGAACTGCTGAACTTCTAATCTGCAAAGCCCACAGACTACTAGCTTCCGTTCAGTATTCTGTATATCTGAATTTATGGTGTTAACGGATGTTTTATTTGGCAACACAAATTAAACCATGATAACATTATTTTATTTATTATTAAATTATTTACCGCCAAAATAATGTAGTTTAAATATTGGAATTCACATAACTATATTACAACCTCGTGTATATTTATCATTAAAACAACTTTTAATAAGTTTAAATAATTATAATGATTATGCGTAAGTGTAGCCTAAATGGATGGTTTATTTAAAAATTTAGTCAACAGATAACATTGTGTATAATTGTTGGTCTGCATTGCGACTCTATGATTGCCTCTCCTTCGCCCCCATTACAGTTGCCAACCATTCTACATTGGGGTGGATTGTCCTACATTTTTTGATTTGCCTTACCTCCAACAACGCTTTTAACTTTATACAGGAAAATTCTACATTTAAAAAAGCAATTTATAGACTTTAAATAGGTTATAATTTAAGGTCTAAGAAAACATGTTTTAATAGTTCATTATTATATCTTTTGATTGTATTAAATTATCGTTCATCACTTATATGCCTACTATAATATAATTTAAGACAATAAATAATTATATTTTAACTTGTTAAAATTTTCTAATTTTATTATTTATATTTAAGATTTAATAATTATTGTGAAAAATCAATTGTTAATAGAGTATAGGTAATATTTTATTACACATTGTAATTTATAAATATTTTCAATATGCACATACTTATTCAATAATAATTTGCATTTATAATAAATTACAATAATGTTAGCTGAATTCCTTAAGTCAAAAAGAGTAAATAAAGATTAGAAAAAAAAGGTATAAATAAATGTAGATTATTTGTTAAAATTAATACCTAGTAATACATCTATTCTACTGATATTACATTTTTTATTAAACTACCTGATTTAAAAAAAACATGAACAAAACTGTCCTACATCACACAATTTAAAAGTTGGTAACCCTACCCTTAATTTTCTCTTGCTGAACTGGAGCTAAAGTTGCTGTAGCTTGGTCAAAAAATGTCAAATGGGCTGAAACTCAACAAGATCCGTAATAATACTGTTATATAGCCATATAACTACCAAGTTCTTCAGTAAAAATGTATAAGAATTTTACAACTAAGCTACCTGTCACAAAAATATAGGTTACCTATAAACATTCCCAAAAATTATAAAACTTTGTATGTGATGGATTCCACCATATATATTAATAACCTGTTAGTTTCGAATGTTTACGTTAAAAATTACATCTGTTTTAACGCAACATACAAAATATCATAATTTCTGGTAGTTTTATAGATTTGAGAGCAAATCAACTAAGAAGAATGCATAGATTAAAATCAAATATTTATTTTCCTATTTGTATGTGGTTCAATTAAAATTTAAAACTAAGAAATTTATGAATTTCTTAAAATTATGTTTATAGTAAACAACATTTATTTATTTTATAATTAATCTATAATTAACGGTTAACATTTTGATAGCCCAAAAATAATATACAACAGTGTATTACAATTCATAACTTTACAATTTATAAATTAACACTTGTATACCAATTTGTAATAACAATGTTACACATTTTTTACCTAAAATACATTAAAATCCAAAATTAGATAAAACTCCCAAATCAATAAATTATGATGAAGTGCAACAAACTATTTAATGTAGTATAAATATGACATACATTTCAAATAAACATACAAATAAATAAATAAAACAGTGCATACAAGTGGATAACATATATGCCAGATGGTAAAACAAAACTAAAATAAAATTAACAATAAATAAAATGTTTAAAACAAATAACAATTGGAATATAGGTGTTGACTATATAAATTAAGTTTATGGAAAAAATACTAATATCTTAACAAATAATAACACACAATCAAAAACAATACAATTTAAACGGCTTAAAATTTTTTTTTTATAAATATTAAAAACACAATGATACAGATTGACATATCCTTAAATGGAGTACAATGATTTAAATTGAATAAAAAGTACATTTACAATAATAAGTACATTTAGATAAAATAATATTCTAAATTAATTTTAATTAAATTGCACTATAGTGGAATGAAACATTATAATAGCTGTTTATTATAATAAACATTTAACAATTTGAGACAATGTATATAAAATAATTTTGTCATAAAGTTCATAACAATCATTCCTAATATTTTGATTTACATGTAAACACATTTGAAAATATTAATTTAAACATTTTTTTTTTTTGGAATATTGTATCCAATATATTTAATTTAATAAATATTTTTATTAGTTCATCAAGGAACTTCATTATTTAATGATTATCAATTATTTTCAAACAATAAAAAAGAAAAATGAATAATAGTTTTCTCAAAATAAAAATAATTGAACACCAACCTGGATAATGGTTTAAAATAAAACAGTGTTTTTTCATTTAAAATATTCTCATTAAAGACTAAAGTTAGTATACGTACTCAATAATAAATATTCCATGACTAAATAATCTTTTAAATATGTCAAAAATAAACTTGAATTTCTTACAAAGCAAACATATCACTTTGTTTTTCTTTATTACGTCTTGATTCATTTGCAGTAGTTCCTGGGGGTAAATTTTCAGCAGCTGCTGCTCTTTCTGCTAAAAATCTTTCAAATTCACTGCTTGATAGTGACTCTTCAATTTCACCTCCTGTTTTAGCCGAACTTCCTGGCTATAAATATATAAATACAGAAGTATGAACATTTTAAATATACATAAATCTTTTAAATTTATTATTATTGCTAATTCCAGTTATTTTATAGATTCCATGAATAATATGAATAAATGTGTAATAGATACATTTTAATAGGAAGACTATTATTAAGGCACTCAATATCTTAGAAAGTATTGACTTTTTTAGATCATTTAACCATTTCATAAACGTGTCCTATTATTTTAAAAACAATTGTTTGAATTTTATTTTAATACAAACACATGGTGAATAATTAGACGAATCCAAAGATACAAATAAGATAAAATTTCATAAAAAAAAAAAATATACATAGAGTTTTCAAATTTCATGTTATAGTCTAAGTTTTCATTAACACTTATTTTTTCAAAAGTGTAAAAACTTTTTGAAATTATATATTCTAAACTTATAAATTTTAGAAAATTTTGTCCCTTTTTTGGGTATGAAACAACAACATACTTTTGATATTCAAATGGAAATCTATATTACAAATTCCATAAATAGATGAATTTTGAGTTTAAATTAATTTTTAGTGTTAAATTCATTGATTTCCTTTAATCTGTTTTTGAGATATTCCACTTTTAAGTTTGGGTAGTTGGAAAGTAATAGAGTATCATATAGTGGAATACTATTCCACTACTCAACTACACTTCTACTTCCGCAATTTTCTATTCAAACACTGGGCAATAGGTAAAATAAATGATGCTACACAACTCTCTTAACTTAAAGTGAAATAATATCTTGTCAAGGGTTGAAGGAAATCAAAAATATCAACACTAAATATATTAAAATCAACACTGCCACTATTTGTGGTATTTTTAATATAGGTTGCTATTTGCAGATCAAAAGTGAGCAGTTGTTTCACCTATTAAAATGAAGGCGACAAAAAATAACAGAAATGTAAAATTTTAAAACTACTTATATTTTAAATATTTTAAAAAACAAATTGCAAAAAAAATTAACACATTCTAAGTTAATGAGTGGCCTACTATTATGTTGATCACTCTTTGTATCAAAAAATGATCTTGTTTGTACACAAAAACTACCTGTCCTCAAATCTTTTTTGATTGATATTTTAGTAAGAATTTTACTATTATTATATTATAATAATATTAACTTTGATATAAAATAATAAAACCATTTTGCACTTACATTTTCACTAAGCCAAGCTGCTATTTCATCAAAATCTTGTTCACTGTGCATCTAAAATTTTGAAATAGAAATGTTTATATTAAATATAATACAACTTTGTAATGGATGGTTAGAAATTACAATTTGTTATTACAATTTATAAATAATAAATTGTCAAATAAAAACAAAATAGCAATACTTAATATAATTAAAATTTAGTTAATTAAAACAATATAAAAAAAATTATACAAATTATCATAACATAAATAAATATATAAAAGATGAAAATGAAAATGTATGCAACAAAATAAAAAAGTAATAAAACTATCATTTTAGAAATTAAATTATGGATATGATAGTTCATTGTGTAAAAAATGCAATAATGGAAGATTTTAATAAATTTATCTACTTTGTTGGATTTAGCGTTTTATATATTTTAATTGGAAAATAATTAAAAAAGCTTAATTTTAAATAGCAAATTTATACATTTAATTTTGATATCTTATTGTTTGTTAAGAACATAAATACCAATCATTTGTCATACTTGAACTTATAAATACAAATCATCAATATTGTCATATAGACATATTTATAAATATAAAAACTAAAAAACATTCCGGTCAAGAGGCCTCAAAAAATTTGATTGTTTACATGAAATGTGTTAATATTGAAACTATTATTATAAAGTATTTCAATAAGTAGTCATTCACTTTATTATTTAAGAAAACATGTTTATAATACACTTGAAAGTTTCCAAACCTTTTTAAATCTGTTTCTAATTTAGATTTGTAAATTACATTTCAACATTCATAGTTATATTTTACGGTACATATTTTATCCTAATATTACTATTACCTTAATGTATTAAATCATATCCCTTTCTTTAAATTACTGAAAGTTCCTTACATTGAGTAATTAAGTTCAATTGATTAATTATTATTGTTTTAAGAATAATTATTATAAAAATCTATATTATATTATCTTAAGTGTTGTGTATATAGTATTTGTTAAATTGAACTAAAAACTGATAATCAAACAAATTGGTGAAAAAATCATGCATTTAATGAATTAATAATGTAAGTATCAAAACATATGGTGCATCAGAGGTATTCAAACTTATTCATCCGATAACTCCCTTGTCTATTCAATACATTTTGGTAGCTCTAAATAATTAATAATGAAAAAGAAATTTACTTGATGATTGTTATGCAGAAAAAATGAAAATAAAATATTTTTTAAACATAAGAAATTAATGTTATTAATAATTTAACATCCTGATAATATTTACTTTCTCCTTCTGTGCTTCAACTCACTTAACCAATACTTGCAAGGTCTCGTGTAGCTACATAAAATGTTTGAATACCTCTGTCTTAAATAATAATAATAATTCAAATTTTGATATTAAAAAATAACATGAAATTTGTCAGATATAATTGATATGTGCATTAAGCTAGTAATGTTAAAACATATTATCAGGGCATTATTTCATTTTATAAACAATATACTCTTACCCTGATGACATCTTCGTGAGCACAATCCTAAGGTCAGAACCCACACAATACACACACAAGTGTTACAAACATAATAATTGCTTTATACAAACGTGATTAAAATTATAAATAATACATCATATTCTATTAATCCACTTTTTTTTTTAAATAATAAAAAAAAATTATTATTAGATATAAATTAAACTGTAAAGGTTACTTACATCTTTTGTAGTAACATTTTGTGATCGAGCTTGAGTCAAAGAAGCTAAACTGTTCACTTGATCTGGCATTAAATTGGCATCATAACTACTCCCTCTATATTCATAATGTGAAGACAGTTAATTTGTATACATACACACACACACACACAATGTATATAAACATGGTGATCCATCTATCATAAACCATAGATTTGTTTAAATTGAAAAGACAGATATACTTCGGACATGGATGAGTTATTATTGTAGATGAGAAGTTGGGAAGGTAGTAGAGGGAGGGGAAATTTAATGTATAATTGTACAAGACGATTAACCATTGCTAAGAAAAAACAATTCTGAGCAGAGTTCATTTAATAGTGTTGCATTGTCAACAATACATATATGTCATATTTTGATAAAATAATAAGATATTATGCATTATATATTTTCATTAATAATATTTGTTTAATATTGTATCTATAATCTTGCTTTTCCCATTTATTTAGAAAATTCCTGGGAAAATTTTAAAGTTGCCTCCTTAAAGTATCTCCCCAGTCAGATTTCTTTTCAGAAAAAGTGCTATTATTGTTAATCTAGGCTAAATTACTAGCAGAAAAGTTATCCAAAGGAAAAAAAAAACATCATTGTAAAACTAAAACATTCCTTGCTCCACTGAGAATCTAAAAACTACAGAAATCAAATTCACATAAAATCTTCCAAAAAAATCACTGGTTCATGATAAGTGGATTAGTCTGTACATAATTGTATAACAAAACATTATTGTTACCCAATTTTTGTATTTTCATATGATACTGATCGAGACTGTGCAAACATATCAAAGTCATCTGTTTGAATACTGGTAAGCAAATCTGTAGGTGGAGTTTTTTTGGAGTTGTCATTGCTAACACCTTATAAAATTTGTTAAAAAATCCAAAAACATATTATATTATTTACAAGTTTTAAATGTAAATTTCTTGTATAAAAATATTATATTTACTTAATTTTGAAAATTCATTTGAAGTTGTAGCGATTGGTTCATCAAGAAAGCCTTGAAGTAAATCTGTTGTTTTTATGGGCGAGCTGTCTACTGTGGTAGTGCTACAACCGGCTTCTCTATTATTTTCATATCTACTGTATCTGTATTACATATTATAATAATATAATTGTATTAAATATATATTAATATTAGATAGTTAATAATAATATACAAACTAACCGTAAAAAGACATTGTTTAGATCATCATTGACTAATAAAAGCTGTTCAGTAAATTCACCATCCGGTAATTTGGCAAGGAGTTCAACAATTCTTTCTTGCATTGCTTTACAAGTTGTATACAATTCCTAAAAACCAACCATATTTATAAAATAAAAAAAAATAGGAATATTCCTAAAATTATTTTTAATATAGTTAAAATGTGTGAACAATTCCACAAATGCAGTTATTAATTTTCTATTTAATATATATTATTGTTAGATATATTTCCAATTATTAACCGTTATAACAAGTTTTTTATTAAATTGTAGTACATTTAAGAGAAATATTTAAACAACAAAAATAAAAAAAAAACTTATTAGAAATTTACAACTATATTATTAATTAAAATATGAACATTTTTATGAGTAGCATATCTATATTATATGTATAATCAATGTTTATACATATTCAATTACTTACAGTTAAAAGTTGAACATCAGATGCGTCTTCTTTACCAGGAATCAATTCTGAGAGCATTTCATTTAGTACAGTAATATTACCTCGTACTAATTCCAAATCACTGTTAAGTTTATGATGTTGTTCTGGTTTTAACGATTGAACATTTATCTGATCACGTGGACGAGTGTTAACAACTGATTTGGGTTCTTCAGAGAAACTCTATAACAAAAAATTATAAAAATAAATAAATATTTAATTTAAATTCATATAAAATTTACTTTATGTGGAGTGTGAATTGGGGCCATAGTATCGAGATTTGTCATAGGAAACTCAATTCCTTTCTGGCGGAGTTCTTTATAAACTTGGTAAACTCCTTGAAGATCAGGTTGATTACGAAATGCATCTGCCCAACTTTGAATAAGACTCAATACTTTTTCTTGTACAATAGATGGTGGATCATTTTTTGGACCTAAATTTAAATATAATGCCAAAATAAAAAAACGTATAGTATTATTTAAAAATAGAAAAATTTACCAATTAGTTTAATTAATTCTTGGGAAAATTCTTTGTTGCAAATTAAAACATGAAATCTTTTACCACAATTTTTTACACAAGTTTCCAAAACCTAGAGTTAAACAAAAATATTATTCAATACATATTTTGTATAAATTAACTCTTTTATAAATAACAATATACAGCAAAACATTATTTTATTATTGGTCTAATTATTGCCTAAGAAAAGAAGAATTCACCGTCATTTTCCATAGTAAATATAGACCAGTTTAATCTGAGAATACCAAAATCTATTCTACTAAATTCATGCGCAAAGTAAGATCATTAAATATGCTGCATTTAACTGTTGGCATATAAATGTCATAAGAATATGTTGACTACTTATTACATTATTATTTTTTAATTAGATTTCTATCTTTGAATTTTTATTTTATTTTAATAGTTTATTAACTTTTACAAAAACAATTGCTTGAATATTTACTTTGAAAAGCTATTGAATGCTTTTTACAGACAATAACTAGACCCGGTTGCTATTTACTTAGTTATAATTTTATAACATTTACCGTTAAAGTATACATAATAACTTTGTGATTTTTGCCTGCATTTTGTTGTAATCTTTTACGAATCGCTTTAATTGCATCTTTAGGCCCTTCTTCTGTATCATTGATCATATCACAAATTTCCATATTGAGTGACCAATTTTCAGAAGCCAAGCCACCGTCAGTTGCTAATTCTGTAGATAAAAATATTATAATCAGGACTCAGATTTTATAGTATTTACTAGTTATTATAGGATACAGATAAAAATAGCAGAGTGAGCTATACATTTATTTTATGTATCAGGAACTCCAAATATGAAATTTTATATTGCTATTTTTTGTATAATTGAAGTATTTTAGATTTTTAGTGCTATTTTTCATGTTTTGGTGTTATATATTGCTAATACGCATAATGATTTATTATGTATTTTCACAAATCTTGTTGAAAAATGAAAAATAATAGAAAAAATGTGTCATTTATATGAACCCATTAGAAAAATAACAATATTTTAATTTCATATTATAAATCTATTTATTGGAAGCCCGGGACATTTTGGTATATCAAAACAGTATACATTTATAACTTCTTATTGAATGTATTTATTTATTTTTTCCTAGAATATTCAGCCACATGTATTTTAATTTTTTTTAAATTGTTAATAGAAGAAAAACTAAATAAATACATTTTCTTTCTTGCTATTTTAAATATTTTTATGGTATATTATAGTGCTTATTTTAAGGATTTTTAGGTCATATTATAAGGCATATTTCAGATATTTTTAGTGCTTTTTATTCTGCACCCTTTTCATAATTATATAACAGGGGCACAATCGAAAATAATAAAGTTGGTAATATATTTATTAATGGTTTTATGCAGATTCGGATCTGTTTGGATCATATAAAGATGTATTAAAGATCTATTATAAAATTTCCACTTTTGGTATAAAATAATGTTTACCAAGTTTAAATGCTTAGTAATAGTAGTAATAGATAGAAAAGTTTTTTAAGTTTATTAATTTCAATTTCATTTAAATATAAAGAATAATAATTTAAAATAGTTAAAGATAAGTTGTATATATATGTCAATGTGATTTTTTGCGTGCATAGTAAAAATATTTTAATTACCGAAATGGTATATATCATAAAATTGATGTTATTAAAGTATTACTTAACACAATGCCTATTTAAAAACATGAATAATATAGTATGGCTGAGTACTATGGATGAGTACTTAATCATAAAAAAAATATTTTTGTTTTTAAAACATTACAAATTTTCACATTTAAATCTGTTTAATAAAAATTCTATTTTTCATAAAAAAAAAAAAATAGTATAATCAACATGCCTTATATTACTAATTATTATATTGTAAACTCTGTTTTTTGAAGTTTCTCAATTTATTTATATAAAGGTACTTGTAATTTTCATATTATAATAATATAATAGTACAGTATATAATGTTTTTTATTTATCCATAAATTAACAATCTTATTGCAAATTTGAAAAGAGATATAAATTATTAGAATGTATAATCAAATCAAATTAATAATACAGTATTTACATAAAAATTGCACATAATTCTAAGAACAGCAAAAAATATTCAAAATCAAATTAAATTGTATCCTAGATTACACATTTATCATTTTAATATGATAAGAAAAGTTTAATTCGGAGTTAAACATTACACAAAGATCTTGAAAATTAGGTATTGATTTAAGATTAAAACTAAAAATGAAACAATTATAATTAATTAGTAATTATATTAAAGCATAACAAACAAATTAAGGTTTATTAATATTTAGTATTAATCAGTTATTAATAGACTATTTATAGTAACTGAAAACAGTAAATTTGGCATGTTCAACATTTTGGAATTTAATTATAATATGGTGATTGGTGATTATATAGTAAGAAATTAATGAAACCATATATTACCATTATAACAAGATAATGTTATTTATATTAATTTGAAATATATTATTATGTTAATAATAATAATCATTTCACAATAAATTTGGAAGGTCTAGCATATTTTGTTTATATACTGAAAATTACAAACTCAATGGAAAAATTATTCTGAGTAAAGCTCTGTACACTAGTAAAGTAATAGTATTAGTCATGTTTTTTCCCCTTGTAATTAAAATAACTTAGAAATAAATAAAAATAAACCAATAAATAATCATTTGTTATCTGTTTTATTCTTCTTCTCTGTGGCCTTTATCCCAACTATTTGGAGTATGCCACTATCATCCTTAATTTCTACTTGACCCGTTCATCTATATCATCCTCACATATACCGACCACCCTCATATTAGTCTAAATCGAGTCTAACTACTTCTTTTTTGCTCTTCTATTTCCATCCTACGTTTAATTTTATAACCATTCTTACTTTTTACAGTTGAGAATCAAAATATTTGTTAAGAATAAAGTATTTCAGAGAAAAAAAATCCACATATCTCATATGTATTAAAATACATGGCATAAAAAAATATGAGTATTTTGTAAACCAAAAAACAAACAAATATCTAAGTAAAACTAACTGCTCCTTTGTTGCATTAATACATGTAACACTTTTAACATTTATTTAAATAAGTAAAGCAAAAAAGTATTTAAATACATGAATAGGTTAGAATAGTTTTACACTTTTATAAGGTAGATATACTCTATATTTTTTTAAGTACTTACATATTTCTAAACAGAGATAATTAATTTGAATATCTAATTGCTTTACAATAATAAAGTAATAATAAAATATGAAACATAAGATCAATTTAAATTATAAATAAATTATAGTTTTAATAGTAATCGACAAACAGTCTACTTGTCTATATAAGTCGAATCAGGTCATGATTTCTTCGTCGCCAAAATGTATAATGAAATTTTATTATATAATAATAATAATTAACAATAAATGGTTATTGATGTCTCTTTATCACAAATATATATTTTGTACACATTAAATATTCAATAATATATGTCATTATCGAAAAAACAATTTTTTTATTAATTATGGAAAGTACTAAGTAATTTTGATTTGACCACATAGTACCTAGTATAAAAAATGTGAAATAAAATAATTTAAATATTTGCTGGTAATTATATAATCAGATAATTATAAAAATAACTATTAAACTAAATATAAAGAATTTATTGTTGTCATACAATTATAATAATGATTATTATGACTATCTAATGTTTAAACCTTCAAAAATAGAAAATCTGATAACTATTATAAATTTAGTTATACAAATTAGACAATGTTCATGGACAGGTTTTTTTAAATTATACCTAAAATTATTTTTTTATACTTATACAATAAATTGTATAAATACAATGTCTTTTAATCCATAAATATCAACAGCATGTTGAATTCACAAAAATTAATTTGTATTATACAAGGACACCTACTAAAAGTTATACTTCATTTTGAACAGTTAAAACTGTATGGTTTAAATGATTCATTAAGAGTAAACATTAAATAGGTCATAATATTATATTAGTTATGTAGGTGTAAGCACGTATCTACAATTATTTTTTTATCCAATATTATAAAATGATCAATATGGTAAATACCAGAGTAAATAGGTACATACAAAATAGACAAAAACTCACCAATTTTTTCACCTACAGGTGTTGAAAAAGGATTTAAAGAAACACCAAATAATGTAGACATCTTTTTTTACGATGAGTAAAATAAATAAATTTTAAAAACACAATTGAAGACTTAATAATTTATTAAACTCAAATTACAGATCCAATGATTGATGAAAACTATTAACACTAACTAGTAACTAGATAAACATTAACAATATTTATACAACCAAAACAAAATGTTGCGTAACTCAAGTGGTTCATAACATTGTGCTAAACTTTTAAACACTGCCGGTAAGCGTGTTACTAACTTCATTACCGGTAAATTAACCACAGTAACGATGGTAACTTCTGATTAAATGACGTTTTCGGCGTTCTGTTGTACATTTAGTGCGTGTACAATTTTCTGATATTCTCTTCAATTTTTAGATTGTTTAGAAGCATATCCAAAGCCGCATCGATTTACATGTAAGTAAAAATATTTTTGATGAATTCACTAATTTTAAAATACCAGTAAGAATTCGTTGAGGTATTCATATTATATAATATATTGGTAAATATAGTAAACTTTAGACAATTATTGTAAAATGGCACATTACAAAGGAGCTGCCAGTGAAGCTGGGCGTGCAATGCAATTAATGAAAAAGCGAGAACTCGCGCAAGCCGAAACTGAGTTGCGTAAGAAAAAAATTGAAGAAGAAATGAAATTATCAAATATTGAAAATAAATTTGCTAAACACTACGATGCAGTGGAAGCACAACTTAAAAGTTCTACTATTGGTTTGGTAACCCTAACTGAAATGAAAGCCAAACAAGAAACAATTGTCCAAGAGAGAGCTAAGAGATTAGTACAAAAAGAGAAAGAAGTAGAGTTTGAAAAACAGAGACAATTAGAAGCAAAACTAGAAGAAAAGAGGCGACAACAAAGGAAAATCAAAGCATTGTCATTTATTGAGGATATGGCAGAAGATAGTGAAGAAGAAGAAGAGGAAGATGAGGAAGAAGTAGATAAAGAACCTTCTCAACCTTTACCCAAAAAAATTAAAAAAAATCCTGATGTAGATACAAGTTTTTTACCCGATCGTGCTAGGGAATCTGAAGAAAACTGTTTACGTGAAAATTTACGTCAAGAATGGACTGATAAACAGAAGTGTTTAAAAGAAGAAGAAATTAGTATTACATTTAGTTATTGGGATGGTTCAGGGCATAGACGTACAATTGTTATGAAAAAGGGTAATTCAATCTATCAATTTTTACAAAAAGCTTTAGAACAATTGCGTCGAGAATTTGGTGAACTTAAAACTATAATGGCTGACCAACTAATGTATGTTAAAGAAGATCTAATACTACCACATCATTATTCATTTTATGATTTTATTGTAGCTAAAGCTAGAGGTAAAAGTGGTCCATTATTTACATTTGGTGTACACGATGATATACGAATGGTTAGTGATGCTAGTTTAGAAAAAGAAGACTCTCATGCAGGCAAAGTATTATTGAGAAGTTGGTATGAAAGGAACAAACACATCTTCCCTGCCAGCAGATGGGAACCGTTTGATCCATTAAAGACATTTGCCAAATACACAGTTAAAGACAAAACACAAAAACACGAAGCAACACAAAAAAATTAAAAAAAACATATCAAATAAATTGTAATTTAAAATAATACCTATATGTAAATACAAAAATATACCTATATCAGTTTTACCAAACGGTTCCTTTGTTTTGATGTTTCAGGTATAAAAAATCCAAATAAAATACAAAAACAAGACTTGGAACTGTGGAACATTTTCTCAGGTTCGTAAAAAAAAAAAAAAATGTTCTTGCTCCGATTGTTCATGGTAGCGATTACTATTTCTGCTACTTATTCAATTGAAATCAATCCTAAAATATTAATAAATAATGTTGAGTGCTTAGTGGATTTAAGCACCCAATTAGTTAAAGGTGAATGTCGTATTTCTTTAGAAAATAATGATGATAAACCTGTAAACTCTATTTTATATGCATTTGAACCTTCATACAAAAACCACATAGCATTTGTTTCTGCTCACCAAATATATGAATCTAATCGCTTAGGTTTACATGTTAAACCAGTGGCACTCCTTGGACACGGAGATAAACAATTTTATCAAATTGATTTTAATGCAACACGGCCATTAAGATTAAAAAGTCGTACACCGATTGTAATTGAATATGTATTAACAAACGCTTTGTACCCTCATCCTGAAGAAATAACTCAAAAAGACAGACAGCTTATGATGTTTAATGGAAATGCTTATTTTTACTCTCCTTACAAAACTCTCAAGTCTTCAATTAAATTTCAAACTGGTACAAGGCGAATAGAAGATTATACTATTTTCAATCCAGTATCGTTATCGTCTGGAGATGTAATCTATGGGCCTTATGGTTCATTAGAATCATTTGCGTATTCAAAAGTTAGTATTCATTATGATAATAATACTCCATTTTTGAAAGTTACCAAACTGATTAGAACTATTGAACTATCACATTGGGGAAATGTAGCTGTTACCGAAGTTGTTGACCTTGCTCATCATGGTGCAAAGTTAAAAGGTTCATTTTCGCGTTATGATTACCAACGTGAAACAAATAGCGGGGTGTCCAGTGTAAAATCTTTCAAAATGTACCTTCCAGCTTCAGCAACAAGTGTTTACTATAGAGATGTTATTGGTAACATATCTACATCAAATCAAAGAACACTTTTGGATTCTGTTGAGTTAGATATTCGACCAAGATTTCCTTTGTTTGGTGGTTGGAAAACTCACTATACAATTGGTTACAATGTACCAGCTTATGAATATTTGTACAACAGTGGTGAAGACTATTTGTTAAAAATGCGTCTAATCGATCATTTATACGATAATATGATAATTGAAGATGTAACAGTAGTCATTATACTTCCTGAAGGATCAAGCGATTTGAACCTAAAAACCCCACATCCGAGTGTACGTTTGCCAGATGGCTTACACTATACATACTTGGATACCATTGGTAGACCCACAATTAAATTGAAAATGTCAAATGTTGTAGAAAGTCATATTAGTGATTTTGAATTAAAATATAAATTTCCAAAAGCGTTTATGTTTCATGAACCATTGATTGTTATTATTGCTATTTATATTCTATTTATAACTGTCATTATTTGGGTTCGTTTGGACTTCTCAATAGCCAAAGATGTTCACAGTGAAACTCGTCAGCGCATATCTGGGATAATGAGTGCAATTATGTATCATATTGAACGAAGAGCTAATGTATACAACTCTTGGGACGAGGCTTTGAATAAATTGAAACATACCAAAGATGTAAATTCTTATAATACAACAGTAAAACAGATTCAGGCAGATTATAAAAATGAATCAAATGGAATCAATGAATTAGCTGCAAAATTAAAAACTGAATCAGTAGAACTAACAGATAAATTGAATGATGTACAGAAGACTGAAAAATTATTAAAAGAACTTTATGGACAGACCCAAGCTTTATATACTGAAAAACTTATAGCCGGTAAAGTTGGAAGAAATCAATTTGTTGAGTTGGACAGTGGTCTCAAGCGGAAAAAAGAAGAATGTCAAGAAAGAATCACTCAATTGTTAAAATCATTAAACTAGTCTTATGTTTATTGCATATTTAAAATAATTATCAAGTCATAAAATAAGAATTCTTTTTAATAATTTATCTTTAAAACCCAGGTTTATATAAAATATAACTATTAAGCTCTTAAATTCATGTCACACAGATACTCATATTATATTCCTTGCTGCACACTTTAAACAAATTTACATTTTTTGTTTTTGAAATTATCTACTTAAAATATTATAGAGAACAAAATTCATTTAACTTAGGTATACAAAAGTTTAAAAAATGTAATTAAATATAATGTTAATTATAAAAATCATTTAATAATTTCTATAATTATGTACTGGTCTCTAGCATATTACACATAAATTACTTTTTCTAAAATGTATATGAATTAATAACTAAATTCCTCATTATTTAAATTAGTTTATTTACTATTTAATAATGTAATAAATATCACATGTTTTATTTACTCTATGGTATAATATATTGATCTGTTTGTCAGTTATATATTAACGTTTGATTCTAGAATAATAAATTCAATTTTACAAATAAGTTTTGCTTTGTAAAATAAATTAAATGATAACCGTTTGCATTATACTGTAGTATGTATATTCATACTTATAAGATTTCAACCGAGAAACAAATTGTGTAACGCAATAAATTTGATGTTATAAAAAGGGTAAAATTAATAGACTTGAGTATATGAAATCAATTACTTTTAAATTTATATATTTTCCTTTTTAATAATAAACAATTTTATTACATAATGAAAATAAAGAGTTTTAAAAATGTTATAAAAAAGTAAAAAATTTAACCAAAACTACACAATATAAAAAGAGCTGATACTAAAGACTGATGTGGTCATCGTTGTAGTTGAGAAAGTAGCAGGGACTAAAATTGTGTATAATATGAAATGTTAAGTGTACAGTATGAAATTAAAAAGTGTAGAGGCTATATTATGATATTTATTTGTATTCGTTTTAATTTTACATTTTTTGCACTTTTAAAAATTATTAGGGGAAAAAATAATTCTGAAATGTATCTTCATAAAAATTTTAAATAACAAGATGACTCGTAAAACATTGACAGTTATCATATATTTTAAAGATGATGAAGGCACAGAATAGATTAATAGATACTTTTATTATTAATGTTTAATTCATAGGTACAATATTATTATTAAATAAAGAATCAAAATTTATCATGTGTGTAATTAATATTTATTGTATTCAGATAGTAGATTGTATGTTTTATTTATGTATTTATAAAACAATATACTAATTTAGTCCCTCTGAGAAAATCTAAAACAATGTTTTTAAGGGAGGTACTATAATAATTTATTATCTAATTTTTAAAAAAAATTATAAAAAATTGGGCTATTTGTCCATAGTATATAGAAAAAAATGTAAATTGATAATAATTTGGCAAACGGTTATTTTTTTCGTTGATGTGCTAACCAAAAATTAAAATGATTCCATTGTAGGGGAAGGGGTGATGATACCTATGATCTAGTGTTGTTATTTTATACAAAGTGTATAGAAAGAAACCGTATAAATTTTAGCCTCTGGTAGGTGAGTTACATAAAGTTATTTAATTTATACTTATAATTAATGATAAACCATTGATAACGGGAAAAAAATTAGGAATGAAATTCAGTTATTCATGTTTTGAAAGGCAGTAATATTTACAATTTTCATCAAAATTTGATTTTAACTCTTATAAAAAAAAATAAAAAATACTACATTTCACTAAATTTTTTTTTTTGACCACTATAAGTCTGACTTGTAATGAATATTCTGTCACATTTTAAAACTTTTCTGTTTAGTCTAACATTTTTATCCACAGTGTATCTACTAAACATTAAAGTATTGAAATCATTTTAAATTAGATTAAATCATAATTAAGTAATTGCACCCAAGCTGTAAAATTATCTTTCTATGTTTCTATGGATTTTGATGTAACTCTTGTTAATTTTGTTTGTAAACAATTTACATAATATTTTTGATGACACAATTAATTCACTTATTATTATTTGCTGATGATGCCAAAATATTTTTAATAATTAAATCTCCTCCTCCTGATTCAATAAAATTGTAGCCAAATTTAAACTAATTTGTCAATTGGAGTCATGATAATAACTTATTACAACTATAAAATTGATAATTTAAAATTATCAAGAGTTGCTTCTACTAAAGACTTAGGTATTTTGTTTGATCAAACATTACTATGTCTTTTCCCTTATGCATTGATTTGATTGTTATTAAAGCATTCAAAATGTTAGGATTTGTAAACAAAAATTCAATTAATTTTAAGAATATTAAACCGTTAAGTATATTATACTTTTCTCTGATGAGATCTAACCTTGATTTTGGGTCAGTAGTCAGTTCACCCTGTTATATCACTCATATTAAAAATATTGTAAACGTATAATTTGTTAAATATGATTTAACTGTAACTGTCACTTCAGTCGAGCGATCATTTTCTAAATTAAAAATTGTCAAAAATTATTTAAGAAATACAATATCTCAAGAAAGATTCAATAATATTTCAATTTTAAATAAAGAAAGAGCGCACCAAAGAACTAAATATTGATCATATAATTAACAATTTTACGAACAAAAAAGCAGGAGGAAAACAATTTACTATGTAAGACTGGTTTTAAAATTATGTCAATCAAATTAATACTACTTATTTATAAATTATGAGTTATGACAAATAGAATTTTGATTTTAATTATTTTATTATTATTATAATTTTTATTTTTTACAAACCAATTATAAAATTTGACATTTTATTTTTATTAACATATCTTTCAATTTTTTTAACACTAAATTTTATCTAGATTTAAAAATATGTTGTGCCCATACCTATAATCTAATATTTACTTTATTAACTTACGAGTATTAATCATTTTAATAATTTTTTTTTACTTAATTATTTTATTATTTGGTATATAAAATAAAAAATTTGCCCGTCTGTTTCTATTTTATGAGCTGTCATACCGATGTTCGTCCGATTATGATAGGGCTTTTTACTAAATATTTAGGAATTTCCCGGGATAGTTATAGGCTATAAGTTATATTTAATAATTAATCTCTTCACCTAGAAAAAATTACCGTTCGTAGTAAAAAACGATAATAGTTTGCACATTTTACATTTTGTTTATTTATTTACCTTGGAGATTATAAAAAACACAACCTACCTTGGCATTATAAATAAATGCATAATAACAAGCATTAGGTATATTTTGTTACCTACCTACGTTATAAAATTACGATTTTATATATTATTGACACATCGATATTTTGATTCGTGTTGTTAAGAAGTTTATTAAGTACATACATATACAACATTTTTTTGATTTTTGAACTACTTATGACATTATCTACTAGGGGGCAGATTTAAATGCATTTAAAAATAAGAAAAATGCCTTTAAAAAAAAATGATCTTAAAGTTATTTTAAACGATGAAATAAAATGATATTAGGTAAGTGTATAAGTATACTAGACAACAGTGCAATACGACTTCCTACATTACAATACGATAAGTAGGTAGCTCATAATTTTCTTTATTGCAACGGACATGCATCATATTGATTTGGTATAATCGGTAAATCTATGATACATTTTAAAAATAGAAATATGAAAATGTTTGAAGTTTATAAAAAAAAAAAAATGCCTTAAAACACTTCTTACACTTCTAGGCAAGAGTATGTGCACACGAGTGTTGCCTGTGAAATAATACAAAATACAATACCATTTCGCGGAATAATGTCAAATCAAATGAGTTTTTGTACCGAGTGCAAAAAGTGCATTAAATAGAAAACGACATAACTAACAAAAAAGTGTTCCCATATAGGGATCCTATACGTCCCATATTATACGGGATTATCCGGTATTTGAGACAAGCATTCCAGTGTCCCGACCAAATGTGCTAAACAACACTTTTGTACCGTATTTTGAATCACCCATTCCGTAAGTCCCTTAATTTTCCTTATTTCTTAAATTATATAATTCAAATTTTTTTGATTAATAATATCTAGTTATGACATTTATGTCAAATAATTTTATCTGCAAAATATATTTTGATTAAATAAATTGTGATTGATCGTTATTACGATTACTAAGAAGATCAGAACTTTAGTTTTTTTTTCGTTTCTTTATCTAGTAGTAACCGAGAGATATCATGCAATTGGATGGTAGCTAAGTATCACTGTAGACAAATAACATTTTTAATTATATTAACATATTAACACGTCAGTATGATTTCAATATTATATTTCGTAAACAAAAAATGACGTAAAAAGTAAACATCACCCCACCACCACCATGATGGTTTGTTGCAATATATCTAAATTTTAAGTGCGATATAAAATGCCCCGTATTTATAATAAATAAATCTGAGATCCCTACAATTATGCGCATACAATATCATTGTACTACGATATAATTATATTATGATTGTACTACACAAATAACATAGACATATTAATATGTCTATGTCCTGTAGTAAACTTAATATATCAATGCTTAGATCATTGGCTATGATTTACGCAGATATGTACTAATACCAGTGATAATTTAAGATGGTAAATAGTATCAACGGATAATAAATACAATAATGGGTATCTCATATTTCTACGGCTTAGGCACATGTGTGTAGGGCATAGAGTAATATTACTCTATGATGTAGGGCTATGGTGCTTCATGACGCCGATTGTCGTATACGCTGTGAACTTATAATTTAGATTATATAATACATCTAAGGCTGTGAACCTCGAATTAAGATAGTACTATCACAGATTCGTGTTGTGAACATGGTCCGTCTATATCATTGATAATATATTTTATATTATGTATTGTCTATATTAGTATAAGGTCTTTGATATCTGTGCATCACTCAAAACAATATTCAGAAAGATGAATACGTTTATACTTTTCTACCATGGATAAATACATTTAGCCTGCAGCCATGGTTTCTACCATATGATCAGTGACCGGTTATTACAATTTACAACTGTTATAAGAATAATTGTAAGCAGATTATTAAGTCCTAATAAACATTTAGAACTTCAAAAATAATTGTTCGTTTTCTACCTTTCACGAGGTGTTTTTTTTTTTCAGGAGGTCCGGATTATAGACTGTAGATCAATTTAAATTCTAACAAGATGACTAACATCACTATCAAGTTCTCAACTACTCTTAGTAAAACCGATCCAATTAGTGTACCAGTTCTGATAATCGGCCAAGAAAGACATTTGTCCAATTTACCATATTCTGCAGTTAAGTGCAAGTTAGAACCACGGGTAAATGAACAGGTAAGTTAAAATATTTTATTAAATATTTTTAAATATTTTCATGTAACTATGAATGTTTATTTTTTAGACTTTCAAATCTGCTTTGTCTGTATTAAATCCTTGTCCAACTGACACTTGTCCACTTTTTCTTAACACTGCAACTTTAGCTGCCATTTCTAATAACCATAGTCGTCATAACTCATCTGCTCAACCTCATATGCTCACCAAATTGATAAATTTGAATACAGCTGGTTACAATGAATGCATAGTGGTGGGTGATCATTTAATACTAGCTGATTTTATTGCATTTTGTTAGATTATAAAGTAATATGATAAAAAATGATTAGATTGTTTGTGAGCGAAAAGACATGTTTGCTTCTGGTTGTGCTTCAGCCAGAGCTTTTTATGATTATTGCCGTAAAACTAAAGTATATGTTGGTAAACTAAAAGAAATGAAGAAATCTACTGTAACAGTAACAGTAGAATTTATTTTTGTTGGGAATTACAATGGTGAAAACAAAGAAGATAAAGAAGAAATAGCAACTTTGGAGAGGATAGCCAATGCCATAAAAATGACTGCACGCATTGTTGATACACCATGCAATGAAATGAATATTAATCATTTCTTAGATGTAAGTCACACAAAACGCCTCCATTTTTATATAATATATTGGATGTTGTTAATCTATTGGCTATAATTTTTAGGAGATAAAGCAAGTAGGAGCTGATTTGAATATTGACCCAATAATAATCAGCGGGGAAAATTTAAAGGAAAAAGGTTTTGGTGGAATATATGGTGTGGGTAAAGCATCTTCCATAGCACCAGCTTTAGCTGTATTATCATATACCCCATCTGGAGCCACAGAGACAATTGCTTGGGTTGGCAAAGGTATTGTTTATGATACTGGTGGTCTAAGCATTAAAGGAAAAGTAAATAAATTGAAAATTTGGTATTATTTTGTGCGTTATATTTAATATTAGTTTGTTAACATTTTCAGACATCTATGCTAGGTATGAAACGTGATTGTGCTGGAGCAGCTGCTATTTTAGGAGCTTTTCATGCTATAGTAAAATCTAATTTCAAGCAGAATCTGCATGCTGTGTTTTGTTTAGCTGAGAATTCAGTTGGGCCAGATTCAACACGCCCAGATGATATACACACACTTTATTCGGGAAGGTCGGTGTTTTAAAATAACATTTTACAAAAATTATGAAATATTTTTAATTATAACTTTTAATTTAGAACTGTTGAAATTAATAACACCGATGCTGAAGGACGGCTAGTTTTATCAGACGGTGTAGTTTATGCGTCTAGGGATCTAAATGCTAAAATCATATTGGACATGGCTACACTCACTGGAGCACAGGTATATTTATTATTTATATATTATTACACATGACATTTTTACTATAAATAGTATTCCATTTATTTTAGGCAGTAAGTACGGGCAAGTATCATGCAGCAGTAATGTCTAATTGTGAAAACTGGGAAAAAAATACTGTATCCGCTGGCCTAATATCTGGAGATTTAACATTTCCTATTGTTTATTGTCCTGAACTTCATTTCAGTGAATTTTCATCTTCACTAGCAGACATGAAAAATTCTGTAGCTGTAAGATTGACTTTAATTTTCATAAAATATATAATATACAAATGTGCTATTATTAATAGGATCGATCAAATGCGACTTCGTCATGTGCTGGACTGTTCATAGCAGCTCATTTAGGTTTTGATTCTGCCCACCAATGGATACACGTGGACATTGCAGGACCTGCTCATTATGTAAATATAATTATTATTTATTTTATATTTATAGTTCAAATACAAAGTATTTTATGTATTGTATCTGAGAGTATTAAATCGACGATTATCTTAGTTTTAACAAATTGTGTACAAACTACAAAATGCCATCATAATCAGCATTTTAGAGATTATTACAAAGATCAACAACAGATCAGATGTTCTGCATTCTCTCAACTACTCAGAAATCTTACTCAGGAATTCAACAAAGAACTATATATTCTATTTATTGATTTTTAAAATGCTTAAGACTCCATACTAAGGCTTATTAATATATTAACAAAATTTCAATTGGTGAATCTGATTAAAGCAAGTCTTAGCATTCTAAAAGATCCAGAAAATTATTCAAGCTATAACAATAATTTATCATTTTAGTATCAAAATATCAAAATCTGTAATCATTTTTTTTACAATTTTTCATCAAGACCTATTTTGAAATGTCAGAACTTTTGTGTTAACTTTCTATTTTTATCGTATTTTTCAGTGTCACAGATATAAGTATACTAATACTGGTACATTCCAACAGATATTCTAAACCTACATATTCTAGTACCCTACTGTTTTTAAAGATTATTTAGCAATTTTTAACAATCATGACAATTTCAAATAATACATTTTAATACAAAAACACCTCATTTCCTCTCATTTTGTTAATTCTTTACATTTTTGTATGTAACTTTCATATTTTTCATAGTTGATCAACTAAAATTGTATGTTATACATTAATTGTTACTTATCTGCCAACCTTTTTTTTAAAATCTCAACAAATTCTAAAGTTTCTACTGTATTTTTGACAATTTTAACTCAGTTGTGAAAGTTTACTTCAAATTTAAATAATTATTTATTATGTTCAACTTATGATGAACCTAAAGGTAAATTTGAAGCATTATTGTTGAGCCAAACCTATTTTAAATATCTCAAAACACGCGATTTTTTGAAAAATTGTACCACGTCTATAATGGACAAATATAAGTATTCGGTGAAAATGTCAAGCCTCTTTAGTTATTTATAATTAAGTTATACTAAAACACAATTTCAAAAAATTACTTTACAATTATGTAAAAAATTTGGCTGCCACCGTCATTGCTCTCCAATTATCCTGGTCCCGGACTCTATTTTCCCAATCTGGTTCTTTCAGTGTTACTAGATTCTTTCTTATTTCATTTTTCCATCACTTATTGGGTCTTCCCCTGGGCCTTTTCCCTACCAGTAGCCATTCGATTGCTGTTCTTATACTTGTATTTTCCGCTTTACACATTACATGACTGAACCACTGAAGTCTTTATCATTTAATGTAGTTTGTCAACAATAGAACTTGTTTTCAAAGCATGCTCTCTGGTAACAAAAAAAAAGGCACACACATTTAAAGACTTATCGCTCCAGTAAACTTTTTTGTACAGGATAATTGACATAATTAGGGTTTTATACTTATAGACAATAGCACTTTAAAACATGATAATAAGCCATAATGAATATGTTTCCTGGGAATATGTATAGATTAACAGGACATGTTATAATTTTATACCTAAGGCCAAGAGGAACATTAAAGCAGTATGGTTATGTTGTTATCAAGGATCCTGCGTTATGAGTCTAAGTATTTTCTAAAATTAAAGTTATTAATACCTATACAGAAATTATAACGAACTGCGAGTTTAAGATAACAAATACACACAATTGCATAAATATATTTTTTTTTACAATTGGATACTTTGTTTAATTTCACTAATCAGTTGAAATTTGTAGTTTTGGTTAAAAAAAAAAAAAGGAACAAATGTGAAAAAATAAGAACTTTATTGCAAAATCTATGAAATTACACAAATATTCAGATTTCAACCTTTAAATTTATTTCAATTAAAACTATCGATATTTTTGATATATGGTTTTAAACATTGATATAAACCAACTAAATTGAATTAACCTAGTTTAAAGAATTATAGGTACTTGATATAATACTGAGTTAAATTTTACAGGGTGAAAGGGCAACTGGTTATGGAGTAGCACTTTTGACAGCACTTTTCGCCAAACATACAAGTGATCCACTGTTGCAATCAATTTCCAAATATATTGAATGCTCAAACTAAATTGATTCATCAACTACAAAAGAACTTTGAAAGAAGTTTTTCAATTATATTTTTGAATTTATATTTTAAAAAACTAAATTTTTTGAGTCCTTTAATAAATTTAACATTTGAATTTGTCTGTTTAAATATGCTGTACTATTTTTTTTTTCTAAATTTAAATATTTGTGATTTAATAAAACTGCCAACTATGTTGTGAATAATTATATTTTATGTATTATTTAAAAATTCAGCACCTTTTCAATTCTTTAGTTGGTAAGTAGGTTTTTTTTTAGTGTTTATTTTTTTTACATTTAATCAAATGGTTTAGGTAATCAGAATTGTAATCGTCATTGTAAATATTGATAAACTTATTTGTAAAGTATATAATTAATAATATGATAACCATAGTAAATATAAAAAGAAAGCTGATACTAGGGACAGGCGTACCATTGTTATAAGTGGGAAGTTGGTAAGGTAGGATATATAAAGTTCTTTAATTTATATCAATTAACTATTGCTAACGAAAAATGATTAGGAGCTAAGTTTGATTATATATGTTTTGAAAGGCTGTATAATAATTATGATTTTCATCAAAATTTGATACAAAAATTCCGTCATATTCAAATTGCATCTATAAATGATGTTTTGTATAAATTATGTTCTCATTAATAATTGATATATACATATTTTATTTCCTGTTTTTACAAACTGAAGACTCATTTAAATAAATGATAAATTTATTAGTTATTATTTTTTGTCTTGTCTAGGATTTTTTAATTTTTATGAAAACTACTTAGATAATCAAATAAATAATTACTTATTCACCAACTTGATTAAAAATGCAACAAAAAAAGGTTGATATATTTTGATTAACGCAATATTTCTGGTGGAAAACATAGTTTACAAAAACTAACAAACAATGAAATCGGTAATGCCCTGACGAGATACGGCATGAATATTTACAGTTTTAACCTACAATTTTACTTCCAATGTTTCCTAAATATTTTAAAAAACCTCTAGGAAATCAAAAAATGACCGTTAATGCACCAACAAAATAAAATTTCGTTTCAGGAAAGGTATTACACTCTAAACATCGGAGCATGATTTCTTTTCAAAAAGTTGTTTACAGACAGAAAAAAAAAACATAGTAAAACTAATAGATCTCTCGCTACACTCCGAATCTAAAATCTAAAGTATAAAATATAAATATTCAGCCCTCGTAGTTGTAAAAGTAAAAAAAATAAAAAATAATGAGTCACGGACCACGGTTTTTATCATATAAACTATATCGTTATCACACTCATCAAGATAATTATTTTATATTTTTATACCATTTGTGCGAATAAAAAGCACAGAAAAGTAAAAAAAAAAGGTAAAACAATCTCGTTGTTTAAGATAAGACAACGTTTTGATAGGTGCAGCACCAGAGCAAGGTGTAATCTACGACCGTGTACGAGCACGACACTTTGAAGGAACATGAGGAAATTCTACCGAAGCGACGACCATGATTACGATTCACGATATCTACCCGGCTACCTACCGATAATGATTTTATTGTGAAATAATTTTTAAATGCCTAACAATATAATTCTATAGCAAAATGTTCATTAAAAGTATTAGATAGTATTTAATTATGAAAATTACGAGTGTAATGATTCTAGTCAAAATAACCTCAGTGATACAACTACAATCTTAGTAATAATAATGAATTTAAATTTTTTACTATTTTGATATACCTAACAAAAAAAAACACAATGTGTTTGGTGCTCAAGTACGTATTTATACTTTTATGGTTTATATATACATTCGCTTCCATTTTACTGCTCTTCAGCAAAGGATTATTACTGCACAGAGATGTGTTGCCTAATAAATCCATTTGCGAAAATCACGATGATCCTCTTCAAAAATTGACTCAAAATTGCACAAAAACTGATACAAAAGTGGTAATGATAATTATTGATGCTCTACGCTATGATTTTGTTGTTCGTTCTGAGCAAGACACCCCTTATACAAATAAACTCACAGTATTCAAAGACATATTAGCCAGTTATCCTAGTCAGTCGAGATTATATAAATTCATGGCTGATCCTCCAACTACAACTATGCAAAGATTGACTGCCTTGACTACTGGTAGTCTGCCTACTTTTATAGATGTTGGTTCAAATTTTGCATCCGAAGAATTAATGGAAGATAATGTAATTGATCAATTAGTGAATAATGGAAAAAAAATTGTCTTTATGGGTGATGATACATGGGCAAATTTGTTTCCAAAAAGGTTTTATCGGAATTATACATATCCAAGTTTTAATGTTTGGGATTTAGATACTGTAGACGAAGGAATCAAGACAAATTTATATCCAGAAATTGTGAAAGATGACTGGGATGTTTTAATAGCTCATTTTTTAGGAGTTGATCATTGTGGTCATAGATATGGACCAAATCATAAAGAAATGGAAAGGAAGCTTAAAGAAATAAATATAATTCTAAGGTAAGAAGTTTTTCTTATTATCATTGGTAAGTGCCTTGGTATATTATAGAATAATTATATTTATGTATGTTTCAGGGATATTCTAAAAGAAATTCTTGGACGTGAAAATATTATGTTTTTTGTTTTTGGTGATCATGGTATGACATCAACTGGTATGATCAACTAATGTTTCAACTAATATATATTTTTTAATAAAATGTGTAGGATTTAACCAATTAATATTAAAGACAATTATTTGGTTTTTAGGTGATCACGGAGGAGAATCTGAAAATGAACTAACATCTGCTCTCTTTGTATTGTCATCTTCCCGAGAATTACTACCAAAAACAGAAAGTGAAATTAAACAAGTTGATTTGGTACCTACTATAGCAACATTAATGGGTATTCCTATTCCTTTCTCAAATATTGGCTCTCTTATTAAATCAGCTTTGCCTCAAAACATACATTTAGTTAATAGTATTTGGAGGAATGCAAAGCAGATAAATGACTATCTAACAACATATTCATTACAAAATGATGAGCTTAATGACAAGCATATTAATTTTATTCAAGACACATTTAAAATGTTAGATATTCAATATAACACTAATACATTTGTTAAAAGTTGTGAAAATTTTATGCAACTTAGTAGAAAAGCTTGTGAAGAAGTTTGGATACGTTTTGATGAAAGTTCTATTTATAAAGGTTTAGTATTAATGTTTGTATCATTATACTTCAGTTTTTTACTAGTAGGTTCATCTGCTTTAGATCATTATGATAAAATTACTGGCAAACAAGTGCTCATTGTATTTTCTATAATTTTTCCATTGAATTTAATTGCATTTATATTTTACTTTTATAACATAATTCATATAACCGTAGTTCTTTTTATAACTGGTTTTATAGGTACTATTTTTCTTGCTATTTTTTGTGTGGCCTGTTGGTCAACATTAACTCAAGATTTTCTTAATTCCAATAAACCTGATAAAATACTTATGCGGGTATTTACTGTATTAACTACTCTAGGATTTTTTTCAAATAGTTATATTATTGAAGAATCATATGTACTACATTCATCATTTGTTCTATTATTGTGGTATTTAGTTGTCAAATTTAAAATAGAAAACAAAAAAACATGGTTTCGTAATAAAATAAAAAATAAAAACTTTTCATTTAAACACTGGATTACATCTTTGAATTGTAAAGTTGTATGGTGTTCAATTATTCTGTGTGGTATATTACGTTATTCTCATTCATTTTGGCAATGCCGTGAAGAACAAGGATGGTGTTTTGAAGATGGAGCTCAAACCAAAACTGGAAGTTCAGTATTACCTATAATTATTACAGTCTTTTCTGTAACAGTTGTTCATAAGTCATTAAAATGTTCAGGAAATCTGACTGGATGTTCTTTTAATGTTTATTTATCTTCAATTTTGCCAAAAATATTTACTGTACTGTTGTGTGTTCATTGGATATTTGATTCTTCATTTCAACGTGGCAAGCATACAATACCATATGTGGCTTATATACCAAATGTTATTATAATACTAACAATCATACTTATAATTACATTATTTGTCAGCCCATTACTTATTCATTATGTAGACATAAATGAAGGAAAAGTTAAACAATCAGAAAACCTGTACGAAATGTTTCTAAGGATGGCCAAAAATATAGTAAAAATGCAATTGGGTCCAACTATTAAAGGTTATCCCATAGTATATGGCCTTGCTACTGTATACAGTGCAACATTTTTAATATTTTCCACATTATTATCAATATTTGGAGGACTATTATTTGGACACATATATGCAGTGCCTGCAGTTATTATGATTATTTCTATTTGGTTAATGGCCATGATAGTTTCAGTCGTAAGACATAATCAGTGTACCAAAATCAGTTAGTATCAATATGTATTTTAGTATAGATTGTTCAATATGTATAAAATATTAATTATTCTACTCTTTATTCTATAAAATAATGTATTAGCTTTGTATACATAATGAACATTCTATGTATATGAATATAAATGTTAGTAGAAAACATATAAAACATATTAAGAACATTATTTATTTTACAGGTGAATTATATACTGTTAACTGGTTGTATGTTTTATTATGGACTTTATCGTCATCATATTGGTTCTATGGTACTGGACATAATCCTTCTTTTCCTTCAATACATTGGAATGCTGCATTTGTCATGCAGATAGAAGTAGAAAAAAATACATGGATTCCAGGATTTTTTATTTTAGCAAATACGTTTTTTTCACAGGCTGTTCATGCTTTTTTATTGCCGGTGAGTTGTAAAAATAAGTAGAGAAAAATCTTCTAAGATATTACACCCATGGGACTGAAGTATGGCTGCCATTTATTTGAGACTAAAAATATACATTCAATTTTAGGAGAAACGCACCCTTCCGAAATATTTTTTGATTAGTTATTTAGATTGTTTTAGTGTATTTTATCGATCTAAATATTAGTAGATTATAATACAAATTATTATTGCTAAATTATGCCTCTCGCTCAATTTTTCTTCTTCTGGCAATGGTATTAATAGGTTAGATATGCTCGCTTCAACTACTAAATTAATACTACTCAAATTAATTCATTTAAGGATTATATCTATTTTGATAATTTCAATTATTTATGTACAGTGTCCATGCTTGAAAAAACAAAAACTTTCCCTTTTCTCCTTACTTCAGAGGATGCTATAACCGCATTTGTGCTGTCAGTCCAACTATCAGACAATATAGTAGACATTACTATACCAGACTATGTCAGGTAGATATTACCTGACGTAGTCTGCATAGAACTTGCCTAATTTTGGTTTTAGAGTAAAAGCACCTAATATAAAATTAAAAAAGGGCAATATTCCAGAGGGCAGGATCATGTGTTTTTCCTATTGTTCTAATTATTATTCCGATTATAACATTCAATTCATCATTTGGAAATAAAAACAAATTCATCGTTTTTAAATGGCTAACATATTAAAAAAGAAACACACACACACCTCTGGATTGTTGTCCTCTTTTAATTTTTTATTAAGTGCTTTTACTATAAAACCAGAAATAAACGAGTTCTACACAGATCGTGTAAGGCAGATTTTGCTATATCGCCTGTTATTATAGCTGGAGTGACATAGCAAATACGGGTATAGCTTCTTCTTAACAAACTAAAACAGGCGAAATAACATAGTAAGAGTTGCGTTGCTTTGTATCAAGGCCATGGTTAAGCTACTAATAATATAAAAATAAAAATATATATGCCAAACAACTGACCTGAAATAAAATAATAATTATTGTTAATATATTCTTCACTCTAAAATAATAATAATACAGGGTGATTTTTTATCATGAATCAGCAATTATCTCAGAGGATTTTGAGTGAATTTTATTTCTGTTTTTTCTAACCATTATGGAATCATTTAAGCTTTATTTTAAAACCATTTTTAATTTTTACCCCTACTTACCACATACCTTAAATAAGTGCATACTTTTGATTTTCAAATAGGAACCCCCCCTTTTGAACACAGATTTAAATAGAGAATATTTTTCTAAAAATTTTGATATGCATAACACTAATATCAGATTTATCGTTTATGAGTTATAACAGTTTAAAGTTTAGACCGGAGGAGTAGAGATGGGTCATAGATAGGCAATTTATATCTAGAAAAATATTCTCTATTTAAATCTGTGTTCAAAAGGGGAGGGGTCCTATTTGAAAATTGCTGATTCATGATAAAAAAATCACTTTGTATTATTTTTAGGTGTATAATAGTTATTGCTTGCATATGTTTAATTATGCTATCAATCAATAGTGTCAACTAAGAGGGAGTTTACAAATAGTTGTATTAATTGTATAAGTACAGTTATTAATTCCTTAAAAATCATATATTTATTAAGATTTAAAAAATAATAATAAAAACTTCTAAAAAAGTGACTTACACATCAGCAGTATCAACTTTTTTTCTTAAAAAATGCATTTGTGTAATTAGAAATTCAATTTTTGAACATTTGAGTGTGGCACTCGTGAAGACATTTTAATTTTAAAGTCTTGTTTAATTGTGTTGTCTCCCTATCTAATCATATAGATATATTCTAAATTTCAGATAGATATCTGTTATATATTTGATGGTTCTTACAATACTTACATTCATACAAATCCTTACTTTTATTATAAACTATAATTTAAAGTATACATATTTTTTTATTAATAATATTGTACATTTTTAAAAATATATAATATTTGTGTTACAGCTGTTATTAATTTGTCCATTTGCCATAAATGGTGCTTGGTCAGGAAAATCAATGCCTTCCAAAGATGAAGATGAACAGACTATGGCCAGGGGTGAGCTATTATTAGCTGAGAAATCTAGACTAATGATACATGGTGCATTTGATTTAACTGCTAAGTATATCCTTGCTAATTGTTTTAGGGTAGGTATTTATTATTAGTGTATTCAAAAAACTGAATTGTTAAATAATTACCATGTCTCATGTTTTGTTTAACATTAGATGGCTATGGTTATGGCAGCTGCAACTATTCATTCACGCCATTTGATGATGTGGAAGATATTTGCTCCGAAATTAATATTTGAAGGAATAGCACTATTTATTACATTACCATTTTCTTTTTTTGGGTTTATTTTAATGTATCGTGTTACTCAACACATAAATGTGCTATTTGAAAGAATTATGTCACAACACTCAAATTATGGTCGAAATTAATTATTCATTTATAGATTAATCATTTATAGTATTTTTATGACTGTTTAAATATTTAGTTTTTTTTAAACTAAAAAAATAATTTTTGAAACTATAGTTTAAACAATTCTCAGATATTTTAAGAGTTCAGTTTTCTATTAATTAGACATTCATTCGTGCCTATATGCTTTATATTTCAAAAATACACATTTCATTTTTCATTTACGAATATTTTTTTAAATTAATTACTTAATATTTTGTTAAGCTTACAGTTAATGAAATTACACTTGTATTTATTTTATTTGTGTAATTTTTTTTTTTTATGTTTGATTTATTTTTAATATTTAAGCAATGACTGATTGTATGTAGATAAAATTAAAGTCTCTTTAAATAGTTATTTATGCATTGTGGTTTTAACCAATTAGAAAAATGATAAATAAATATATGCTGTAACATCATTCATTGTAATACTATAATAAACTTCCCTCGAAAAAAAATATAAATACAATAACTAGTTCCTTGAATAATTTGTTATAATTTTAAATATTATTTAATAATCTTAAATTCTATATACTAATTAACATAATAATACTGACTACCTGAGTTACTGAAATAATAGGTAAATTAAATATTTTTTAATGTTAAATTATATCAATTTTTAGGTAGATTAGTTGATATATATTTATTTAGCAACCAGTAATATCCATTGTTTTTAATTTACATTTACGTAGGTATTACATAATGTCTGTAGGTGATCAATCAGGCCTTGACATTTATGCTTAATTAACTAATGTATATATTTAAAAAAAATATATAAAAATTATTATAGTATACTTGTTCCCATAGGATTACAATTGTCTAACAATAAAAGAAAATAAATCAATTGCAATTGATATCAATTCATAAAGGTCAATTATTTTACATTTGGGTGAAATAAATATAGCATATTACATGTTTTATTATGTTTTTAAAATGCATATTTAATTATTTTATTTTTAAAACTATAAATGGGTTGCTTTACTTTTATCATTACCAGCTGTCGACCTGATGCAGCCCCATTTGTTGCCTCTTACTACGGGTAGAGGTACTTAACATAACCTAGGTGAGGTTCCTTCAGTTCATAGGTACAATACCAGAGACTTCACATTCAATGATAACACTGAAAAATGGAAATCGAAAAATTTCCTCCCTAAAGTACTACCTAAGAAAATTTCCTTTTAGTAAGGGTCTAGATCATATACATTTAAGTAAACTTTCTAAACAAACTAATTTTTTACAAAAAAACATTTATAATATTATCATAGCCATATGCAAACTTTTTTCGTAAGGGATGCCGATATTTTCGAAAAATATCTTAATATTTATAAATTTATAATATTGACAAATAGTGTATTATTTAAATATAGTTATCCCATTACTCGTCTCAAAAAGAATCATAATTCGCTTTATTAAATTTATGTTTATACAACTACAGTTTTATATAGCTGATATACCTACCTAATTAATAAAATAATGTCAACAATCAATATGTACATTGTAGTTGTATAAATGTAGTTTTAACTTTCAAATTCATAGATGTCAAATGCCTAATTTTTATTATTTATGAGGAAATATATTTGATATTATTGTAATTTCCAATATCGCAAAATATATTTGATTGGAAAAAGACAAAAATCTTATTTGTCAAAATGTCTAAAATGAGTTAATTTAAACAAGTAACAACAATAAACTATGGATTAAGCTGACTCCGCTGGGGAATCCATAGCATTATTGCAATTCATACACATATCTATGTAGAGGTGATACATATAAAATTGTAGTAATTAAAGTACTTTTAGATTCTGAGTGGAACGAAGAAGCCTATGATGGTTTTACAAAGATGATTTTTTTTAAACTTTTATACCAAAAATCTTGCTCCGATTTTTAAGTGTAGCAACTTTTCTAAAAGAAATGAGATTGGGAAGGTATTTTAAGGAGGTCATTCCTAAAAGTTTTCCCAGTAAATGCAAAATACCGGGAAAAAACGTAAGGGAAATTAGTAAGTACATTAAACATATATTAAAGAAAATATATAATGCTTATTTAATTATTTCACCATAATATGACATTCCTATGTATTGTTGATGAAGCATCACAATCAACTGAACTCCGCTCAGAATCGTTTTTTCGTCAGCAACGATTTATCGTTGTTTACAGGTATTCATTAAATTACCTATAGCAGTGGCTGCACCCGTCTCCATTATTCTTGGACAGATTTTTTATGGTATGAGGATGACACTTGTTAGTAATACTGTTTGGATGAGATCACTTGTGAATCAGTGGCATATTTAGATCTGAATTTTTGCGACAGAGTTTATGACTTAAAAATTAGATATTAATTAAGTCTTTATTTGAAAAAAAAATTAACTATTTTCCGAAAATAGTATGTTAGGGATAATGATAACCTAATAAATAAGCTCTTTTAAATTCTCTAATTAGGATTGATCAAAATCACCAATTTGGCATTGTCTATAGTCAGGAAAATTAGGTTAAACAGATTTACTATGGTGTTTGGGTAATATGATTTAAACTCTGAAAACAATAGACCATTAGATAAAAACGATTCTAAGTAGAATTCAAAATTACGATATTTCCTTTTTTTTTCTCACTAGGTAATTTAAGATCATTGAGTTGAGGATTTTCGAATAATGAAAATTATTAAATAACTTGTAATCTATACCTATCTACAGTGTTTAGTTGTCTTCCTAAATTTGAAAATGGTTGGATAAAATAGAATATTTATAATTTTCATGCAAATAAGATAAAAATTGTGATGTATCAAGTTAATTCTTTGAAATTTAATTTAATTTTGTTTTAGATTGAAATCTATCAATGTAATATGAGTACAAATATAATATTTACTTACTTCAATTGGAATAAAACCAGAAAAATGTATAACTATATATTATGTATAGGTATGTGATTCATTTTGATTCAATATCTTACTTTATGAAATTAATGAAGCATGAAATATTAATAAACGTAGGTACCTATTTAATTATAATGTGATATAATTATAAAACAATGTTATATGTTATGAAAAAAAAAGTTTTTAAGTAGTAGATACTTAAACCTAGATGTGGCTACATAAACTATTAAATTATGAAATACACATATTGTGACACATCTGATTGGTACCTACCTATATTCTACACATATCAATACAATTTAATTGGGTAGAGTAGGTACAGTAGAACTTCGATTAACTGTCACCATAAAGACCAGGACTATAACGGTTAACAGAAATTGTATATATATATTTTCATTTTCACAACATATTGTGTACCTAATATAATTAAGAGGACGCCACACCGAAATATTATGTCTCCGTCTTACAAACGCGAGATATAGCAAATTTATGTTCAGTAGCACACATTTTGTGCCGTCAGTTTTAATATTAAAGCAAATTGACCAATAGGTCAATTTAATCAAAATTAAAGGTAAGAAGATTATATGTGCTTTAGCGTTGATGATTTTTCGATTTTTTTTATTTTTAATATTAAAACTAACGGCACAAAATGTGCCCTACTGAACGTGAATTTGCTATGTCTCCATCTGTAAGACGGAGACAGTAGATGTCGGTGTGGTGTTCTCTTAAGTACAAAAATGACAGATAATAAAAATGACAGTTAATTGAGTTTCTACTGTAAGTATCTACCTCTATTGTACAAAAATAAAAATATATTATGATTTATAGAATTACAAAAGGATACTAATAAAAATGTGTTCAGTGAGTTAATCAAAAAGATGATATATTAATACCTACTTAGGAAAGTTAGCTAACATTTTTAAATTTTTTTACATTTGAACAACCACTATAGAGAAGAGGAAGTAAATACAAACAAGTTCTCATTTTATCCATTTTACTGCCAATGTTTATTAAATATCAAACTTTACTCCGTGTTACTGTTACTTATACTCGTATGCTTATCAGTTAATATTCATTGGCTAAGAGAATCTGCCCACTCAATCGTTTGCCTTGGATATATAAATTATTTATTGGCTATAGCTATGTTTTCTTTATTAATTGTCTTGTTTTTACCACCTTCATTGTTCTTCTTTTTTATCTTTGATAATTTGAATAGGTAGGTTATGAACGTTATTATGGTATCTCAGTTCTCTTCATTTCTCTTTATTAATTTATTCTATCATGTTATAAAGAGAATTTTGGGTAAACCAGATATGGTTAACTTATGCCTACTTGAACTTGAAATTTGAAATTATTAAATTTTTAAATATTTATAGAGATTATTTACATTTTTGGTTTCCGTAAACCTATTAAAGAAAAGTTAATATTCTAAAACTTTTATAAAAATAAATGTATAGATTCTAAATGTGGCGAAGAATCTTAAAGATGCCAAATTTCTGACTGGTGGTACGATACTAGAAATTCCTAACAGTTCAGCCCCCCAGATCTTGCTCTTTGGTTTTTTCTCTGAAGATATTTTTTTTGGTTTTGTAAAATATGCTTTGAATTGTTCATATCCCATCTTATAATAAGATGCGGATTTTTCGGCAAATAGTACTATTTTGTTTTAAAATATTGTCCGGGTTCTCAACAGTTTTTCTAAGATTATCTTAGGAAAATTGTTATCCAAGATAAGACTGAGACATCATGGAATATAAATCGCCTTTTTTTATCACTGGTTAGGTTAAAATATTAGATTATCTATTAAACAGTGATATTCTAAGATTATTTGGAAAGCAGGATTAAGCACGCTCTATTTGTGCCTATAATTATATAGATATGTAGATATTGTGGGTATTATATTAAAAAGTGACCACAAAATATTGAACAAATTTAATGGGTATTTTTTGAAACAGCAAATTGTTCAGTGTTATATGGATCGCTACCTATGTATGAAAAAACGTTCTGCGCGCTGTACCGAATTATAGAAGTTGTTTACCGCGTCTATACAGAATAGCGATAGGTAGGTAGGTAGGTGTATTAAAAACATTTCAGCCCACAATCATAAATTTCTTGGGTGTCTTATGTAACTATACAAATAGCTTGTAAATAAAAAAATTACAAGTGTAATATTAGTCAGTATATAGTAGTACAGTAATACGTGTTGCTTTCAATAACATTTTATTTTATTTATAATTCCGCCATTCCGGACTTCGTACGTAGGTACCGTACCTATGTAACACGCAAACACACGTCATATTTGTATAACTTATTAGGTAGGTATAAATATGTCTAATATTTTAGTGTATAAAATATTTAGTATTTATTTAAATACAAATAATATCACAATAATATGCATATAATATTATTGTAATTTATTTATTTAGAATAAAGTATAGGTACTGCTTAAACTTTAAATCTAATAAAACAATAGGTACATTCAAGGGTGTATACACGGGGTGGAGGGAGGATATGCGGATTTAAATAAAAATAAAATATTAAAAAAATTAAGAAAACATTTTTTTCAATATGATATTTTATTATTTGTATAATAATTATTCATTTTTCAAAAGATGAACAAAAGGTTGAAAAAATGAAAACATGATTATTGCAAAAAAAAAAAATAAGTAGGTACTGCCAAAATATTTGGATGTCATGAGAAAATTACGAGAACTTTCTCTTGGGAATGGGTGCAAACCTCTCTTCATTTAACTTTGAGGGTCTTCTTTTTGATTCCTCATTTTGTGCGAATAGAGGAGCCTAATTAAAAATAATTATCAAAATGTATTCAAAATACAACATTTTTATTTATTTACAGCTGTAGGAACTGTGATTTAATGGTAAAATATTATATCGAGCATAATTATGTCCGCCTCAGCGTTCATAGCAATCGGTTTTTGGGCAGGTTGAGGTGTTTTTGTACCATTTATTTTTGAAAATAACAACAGCAACACAGTTACCACGATCGTTATCGAGGTATGAGATTTATTTACAGTTTTAGCACCCTAAAACACTTTTACACTGTTCTTTTAGCACCTAAGAACAGATTTTTTTTTACAAAACACTGGAATTTCGAACTGCACATTTTACATTTTGCACTATACACTTTAGGATCTAAAACACTTTATTTTGAGCTTTGCTTGACGAATTCAAACTGAGGGATGGAGATAATATTATTTTTTTATGAGCGTTTTAGAATATAAATTATATAAAATTAAGTAAGTCTACACATTTTTAGTGTGCTAAAAAAAAATTCATGGGATGCATTCTATAAATGACGCCCCTGATTTGCGTTGATAAACTCTAGTTTCAACCGGACAAGACCTATTACACATCCTGAGAGACTTTGGTGCATGCGTGATTCCTGACTAGTTGATTTCACTTTGCGGTGATCAAGCTTAGTGCCGGCGCCAGGTTTTGTGAGGTCCCGGGCAAAACATTCCGGAGGGTCCTGAAAACATCTTAAACAAATCAATAGTAAAAACTGAAAAAATAAATTGTACTCTTCTCATATTAAATTGCTATTTAAACTTATTTTTAGATGAATAAATGCATAAAAAAATACCAATTCACTACTCTTATTTATTGCTTTTCATATTAAATTTAACATATACATAATAGTTAAACATGATATTATTTTGATAACATAAAACTGTTAGTTTTTGCATGCGTGTCGCTAATGCCAAGGTACCCATAAATCAACAGAAAACGTTTAATTTTCGTTCTAAAAATATTAAAAACTTTGGATCAGCCACTCTTCAGGGGTTGAATTTTGAGATAAAATAGACAGTAATCTTCTTGTTTTAAATATCGATAAGTTTGCAAAATTGCATCTGGATTGAAATAAAATTGTTGATTGTATCAAATCATAATCATCGTTGATTATAGTACCCGATTAATTATGACAAGCGACGGCAGACATTTATATAAAAAAAAAAGAAGAAATTGTGTATTTGTGATTCATTTCACTCGTTTGTTTATCGATAAGGCAAACGTCGGGCAAACCCACGATAAAAAAAAAATTTGAAATTGTTCCTTTCAAAACTATATTATTATACTAATAATTATTTAGTTGTCCGATTCCCACCCTTTCACACGTCTCTAAATTATTTGAATCCATAATTCTAAGGGTGCGTTCGTGTAGCTCGCTTAAACGCTTATCAGCGCCACCGTACCGTTCGGTTTGGCGTTTGATAGCGCTCAGACTATAACCATGACATCACTGAATTTGAGCGTTACGTCATCGATCCGCGCTCACAAATGCTTCTCCTATCGAGGTAGGGCAGCAAACGCTCACAAATTAATCAAACTATAATAGATACACCGAAATAAGTGATAACTGTTTGACTACATTTTCACCTAATAATAAATTATTATTCTTTGTAGAATACGACCACACTGTTTAGACTGCGATTTATAAAAATTTACAGAAATAAAAATGTTTCAAGTACATAAAATGTTAACAATTTTTAATATAACATCGTTAGTTGTTACAATTATAGTATCTAATGATAACAATTAACAGCTGATAACTGCGATGATCGTACAATCCATTTGCTTATATTTGCGTTCGTCTTGAGATCCACTCTATTTAGCTATATGTCTAAACGAACCGTTCATAAGCGTGAGCGTTGGCATAAGCACCGTTAGCGTCTATGCGTGATAGACGAACCCACTCTAAGTAAGCTCCGTGCTATTGTTAATCTAACTCATATGGAAGAGCAACATGGTTTCCGACCACATCGATCAACAGTTACCTGTAATGTGACCTTCTCCAACTACATCCACGACGCTTTCAATTCTAGATCTCAGGTAGATGGTATTTATACTGACTTTGCAAATCATTTGATGAAGTTGACCATCACATAACACTAATCATTTTACGCGCAACTGGTCTTGGCAACTCACTCTTTTCGTGGTTTAGCTATTTATCTCTGAAAGAAAGCAATGGATTAAGATTTATGGTGTCTCATCCAATATCATTGTAGCTTCTTCTAGTGTTCCTCACTGGAGGTGGAGGTCACCTCTCTCCTCTGTTGTTTTCAATGTTTGTAAATAGAGCAAACCGCATATTACGTCATGCGCGTCTGTTGGCATTAGCTGATGTCACGAAATTGTTCCTTCGTGTTGACTCTTTACAAGATTGTGCTTAACTTCAATTTGATATCAACTCACTCGTATCGTTGGCCGAAAACCTTGGATTATCCTTCAATACTTCCAAATGCTATTCTATGTACTATATACACCATATGGATCATATTAGTTTCGAATATTCAATTGGTGGAATACATATCTTGCACAATAATACTCTAACTGACAGAGCTTTGTTTTTAGCCCCACTTCATTAAGTCCAAATGTCCATATCCAAATTATCTGTTGTAAGGCACTTAAGATCTTACGATTTATCAAACGCGTTTCAGCTGAATTTGAGTTGGCTGGTCCTTTAAAGGCACTATAATGCGCATTCGCCAGGCAAATCCTTAAGTATAGTTCAGTAGTTTGGCACCCTTATACCGAAAATAATTCGATTCTGCTTGAGCGAGTGTTCAACGGAAATTTTAACAATTCACTAGTCGAACTTTAAAAATTGAATGTCCACCACATGACTATTCTCCAGTTCTTAAACAACTTAATATGGAGACGCTGGCTGATCGAAGATATGCTGCTATCTTGAATTTTCTATTAAAACTTATAACCGGACATATAGACTCTCCAGAATTACTCTCAAAAGTAGACTTTAACATACCTTCGTACAACGAGTAATTCTTTTCCTTTTCATATTCACTCATCTACAATTAATTATGGTCGAAATGAACCAATGCAACGTTGTATGTTTCTTGAAAATACTGACTTATTCTCCTCACTTATTGTTTGAGTAATTATATTGTTAAATTTTCATTAATGAATTTTATGTTTTTACAAATACTGTCACCTTTATTAAATTGGGTTTTGTGCCCGTATCTAATTAAAAATAAATAAATAAATTGTAAACAATTTGGAAATTCACAAGGTGTACCTCCACAAAAACATACATTTTACATTTCAAAATTAGAATTATTTTTAGGAATTCTAGGATAAATTGTTCAGGCACAAAAAAAACCCTCACAAACTATAATAAAACTAATATATTCTTCGCTCCTCTCAGAATCTAAACACGCGATGCTTCCCCCCCCCCCTTTTCCGCCTGCCATGAACAAGATTGATCCCTAAGATCATATAATCTCACACTACGTAACTTCTTTTTATGAAGTTATGCCAAGTTATAAGTGTACGTAAACAGACCTCCCACTATTACCGAACTTCAGATGGAAATTCGATGGGTGTCGGCGAAATCGATGTGGATGTCTTTGAGAGTAATAAATTGCGAAATTCAATGAATGAGTTACTGACTGCCACGAATGTGAAGGTGGGTATACATGCTCACTGTAATTCTTTACTACTAAATCGCAGTTCCTACAGGTTGTACCCGTCTAGACTAATAACAATTTTGAATTTTGGATACATTTTTACAGTTATTTTTACAGTACTTACCACAATTTTAAAAAGAGCGCATATATTAATTGACCCTATATAGATATTTCGATAGAATAATTTCAAAAAGAAATACAAATGACCTAGGTCACAAAACTCGCATTCGGCCATATTCCCAAGTTTATAAATTAACCTTGGAATACTGAGATAAAATTGAAATATTGATTTTTTTAATTTTACCCGAATGATTCTAAATTTTGGTTAAAACTTATTTTTCACTAAATCTAAATTACCTATTATCCGGAGGTGATATAATGATAGGTAATAGTACTATTATAGGTAGGTAGATAGTTACAAGTATAATTGTATCCTATCAGGAATTAATATAATATTATACTTACTTTATATTTATATAATTATAATATTTGATTTTGTTGACAATAATATTTCATTAACGTTTAATTCTATCAAGTTTTGATATATAATATTAAGCAGTTAGTATATTGAAGAACATTGAAAATAAAATTTATTTAAAACAATATTGAAGAAGACGCGTATACGTATAGCAATTTTTACACTGTAATAATTTGATTTAGTACCTAATTATATTAAATATTATATATGAATGCGAAATGACCTTAGGTCGTAACTCGTAAATACTATTATCTTTTATCTCTGGATAATAATATAATAAAACGTGTTCTAGTAAAATTATATTCTCTACGTTTGTTGAAGATTTTTAGAATTCGTTTTTAATTTCAACATCCAATATTCGTAGCTGATTCTCGCAACTCTCGCGAGACACTTCTATAATATTATTATATTATTTATTATTAAGTATTAACATTGTCTGCACGTAAAGCGCAATTCATTTTGGTAGAAAATTGTATTTAACTAAACCATATTATTATTACCTACTACTACTTTTACTTACTATTATTACTCACCATTCACCAAATGGATATAAATTGTAATTTATTGCTTACGTATATAATGGAATACCTTAACCTTAATACAATAATATTATTTTATAGCTATACCTAGACTACTGGTATATTTAAACCGTTTATCTGAGTATAATATTATTGCGAATATACATATTTATAATTATCAGTCATGAATTACTTGTAGGTACATACTTTTTTATTGGGTGACCCCTAAGTTTTATTTAATATTTGTCTGGACGACTGATATCAGTAGTAACTATAAATTACGTTTTTTATTTATACTTGAGCAATTATCGATTAATTTTAATAAATTACGCGAAATTATGTAAAAAAAAAATACTCACAGATTTAGGTAATTTTACTTACACTGCTCTACACTGTTAGTTTTTTGGTAAATTAGTGTAACACTATACTATTCACATTTAAACAATAGGTATATAGCTAGTAGTAATGTAATTTGTTCAAATTAAGGAGAACACTAAATATATAATATAGAATATGTAAATTAATATTAGGCGGTATCGTCGACAGTATAAACTGCTATATAGATAAGATATAATGAATAAGTTAATAAACAATTACGGTGGGGGAATAGAATCCCTAAGGAGATACAATTAAAAAAATTATTTCCATATTATAGAGTAATATAATAGGATAGTTATCTACTAGAATTATTATTAATTTGAATAGTTAAAACTACATATTTAATTAATCACGAATTGAAAATTTAACATCTTGCAGTTAATCTATCGTTTGCATATTAAATATATTATAGAAAACAACAAGAAAGATGAATGCAAATGTATAACACTTACCTACGTTAAAATAAATAATTATTACCTACATATTATTACCTAACAATTTATCTCCAAATTTCTAGTTGTTTTTATTTGATTAGGTACTCGGATTACTCAGGAATACCTGCCTATTATCTAACAAATTATCTCCAAATTTCTAGTTGTTTTTATTTGATTACTCGGATTACTCAGGAATTTTTTCCTTCTGTACCTGTAACACGCATGTTACGATGATAATTTAATTAATAATTTATTTTGATATTGGTATTAAGAAGATGCCTATAGATTAAATTGGTATATTCAAATCACAAATATTGTTTTATATTAATTTATTATATAGACTATGTATAGTGTAGGCGGTATATAACATGTTTAGGCAATACGGAATATGAACATTTTAATCCTACCTGGGCAATCTGAATTGCGAATAAAAACTAATTTGTTTTTATTAAAATTATTACTAATAAAAATTATATTTGAAAAAGAATGACAAACTGTTTTAGAGTCAATACAAGTTCTTTCCAATGACAATAAAAATAATGAAGTATTGCATGATGTAGAAAAATAAGATAATGAAGATCAAATAATTGGAAATAAACAAAAACAATATAAACCCCGCTTAACCATAACAGAGATAAGAGTCGCTAAATAATCTGAAAATCCTATCAACAAAAATGAATCTAAGTAGGTAAATAACTTATTTATTTATTTCGTATGGCATGGTTACATCATTATTAAGTTTTAGGTAAATAATTATAATAATTATCATTATAAATTATAATTTATAATTGTTATAAAATATTTATAATATAATATAATTTAATAACATTAATTAGGTATCATTGTTTTAAAATATCCACAATATAAGAAA